TATATATGTGTATATATGTATATATATAGTAAATGTGGCAGTGTTGGCCTAAAGGTCAGGGATGCAGACTTGTAATTGAAAGATTGCGGGTTCAAATCCCCAACCACTGAGGTACCCTGAGCAAGGTACCACCCCCAAGCACCGCTCTCTGTGCATTGAATTAGCTGCCCCCTGCTACAGTATGTCACTTCGTGACATAGGGGTTAAATGTAGGCCCCTTTTGTTGTTGAGCACTGTGTGCTATGGTGTGTCAACAATGACAGGTAATCCCTTTCCCTTCATTTTCTGATTTAGCTCCCACATCAACTTGAACATCGACTTGGCAGTGAAGGCAATTCTGGGCATCTTCACTGTAGTGACAGGGAAGTTTCCACAATTCCAAGTAAACGGGGGAAGTATCAGGGAGAATTTGGCCCTGCAAAATCTACAGGTGATGCAGACATATCTTTCTGTCACAGCCTGCCGCAGTCTCTTATTTTGCAAACATCCTGTACTCTGTTATGCAATAGCTGGAAAAACATACATGGAACAAAAGTAGGCTTTAAGCATGTGTGAAATGCTGTGTCCAACCAGGACCTCAAAAGCTTTTTCAACTGCTGTTAATGTCCTGTATGGCAGACAATTCACTGATGTGTTGGGGAATGTGTAATGTAAACAAAGATTGAAAAATTAAGACCCACTAGAGGCTTTTAGGGACATATTGCATTATAAGTCATGATGTTACTTAATTTCAGAGTCTGAAAGATGATATCTACTGATAAATGTCTTCCCTGTTGGGACGGGTGTCCTCTAAGACAGTGTTTCCCAACCTGGTTTTTGGGAACCACCAGATAGTCCATGTTTTTGTTCCCTCCCACTATGAAAGGAGCTGTCTGGGGGTCCCCAAGGAAACGCCAAGACAACTAGAGAAGCATCTGCAATGTTTTGCCTCCATTAGCAGTCTTTTAACGTTATGTTAGTTTCCTTTGGTCTCTCTCTCCTTTTTTTGCAATATTTATGATTAATACCAATTGTTAGGACTAACAGCGATCATTCTAAGTAATGGCAGGTTGTTCTCACCCTCAGGCTCGAACCAGGATGATTCTGGCCTACCTCTTTGCTCAGCTGAGTTTGTGGGCCAAGGGAAAACCAGGTGGATTGCTGGTTCTAGGCTCAGCCAATGTAGATGAGAGGTGAGAAGTGCCAATATTGGGAACGGACAAATAAAGCTTAGAGCTTCTGTTCTAAGCGTCATGTTATTGCTTTACGTGATCTTACGTAGCCAGTGTAATAAAACAAACATACCACTGAAGTATTCAATGAAATGCTGTTGAATTTTTTTTTTTTGTAAAACACAATATTTGCTGATATTTGATCTATTGCAAAAAATATTTCAACTTATTTATTTTTTTTTTATGTTTGCTTAGTGTAACATTTGTGTTCTTTGCATATTTTTATATTGTATCAAAATGTCTTTCAAATAGTCAGCCTCCTGTATGAATTTTCACCATTTAGTTAATGTGGTTCCTTACATATTAATTCCATTTTTTTTTTCTGCTATCCCCAGCCTTACAGGATACTACACGAAGTATGACTGCTCCAGTGCGGACATCAATCCTATTGGTGGCATCAGTAAAACTGATCTCAAGCGCTTCTTGCAGTATTGTGTTGACAGTTTCAAAATCACAGCACTATGCAGGTGAGAAGGTTTGTTTTTCTTTTCATAGTACACTTCTACATCTTAATCTGCACCTCACTCATTCCTTGATAAGTACGATACCCGCAGCCTAAGTATGTCGAAAGCTGTATCCTCCTTGTTTGTGCACCCCATACTCGCCTCTAGGGCAGACTTGTACTGCAGAAAGCATGTCAGGCATTTGCGTTACTGGCTTCTGTGTTGGACTTCACAGCATCATGGCTGCCCCTCCAACCGCAGAACTAGAACCATTGCGTGATGGCCACATCTCCCAGACCGATGAAGTAATGACTCTGCCATTGGAGGGATATTGTCTTCATATGCTTTCAGATACAGATCAAATAATCTTGGATCATATAGTATATCAAAATACACATACCTGAACTCCAGCTGAAATATCAATGACATTGTGTTCATGATGGAGCTGTAGAAATTACAAACTTATTGAAATAAATTTGATGATAAAATGAAATAAATGATGGTATGTGTGTTAACTGCCTTCCCCAAAGGCTCTTTTTTTGACAGTAGATTAGCTTGACAGTAGATTTTTAGAATAAATGCTGTGTTACATTGTGCAGTGATTTAAGCTATAGTGAAATGAACCCTTCTTTCCAGTCTGATATGGGCATGACATATGCAGAGCTGTCTGTGATCGGCCGGCTGAGGAAGATTTCTAAGTGCGGTCCGTATAGCATGTTCTGCAAGCTGATTGACATGTGGAAGGAAAACTACTCCCTGTCACAGGTCGGTCTGCTGAAGCCTTCCAGTGTTGTGAGATAATTGTGACAATCTTTAACTAAGTTAGACTATTAGCTTTCATGGTTTTTATTTCTCTTTTTTTTATTAATATCAGGTTGGCTTTGCTTCTGGATACACTACTGAGGTGGATTTAGCAATGAAGCCAATCATGAATTATAAGTTGACAGAATTTTCCACAATTTTTCAGATGGTTAAAAATCTTTCAATTATTTGGAAGAAAAAGAAAAATAAGGTTTTTAAGTATTATTCTACCAAGTGTTTAGTCTCCTTTTAAACTGTATATGACTGAATTGATACCTAAAGAATAACTATAGATTTCTCAGTAAAACCAATATAACTACAGTTATACAAATGTGTATATACAAATATACACAGACCAATATGTAAATCTGTGAAATGTCTGTTTCCTCCCACTGGAGAGTTAACTGGTTGTTTTAATTATTGTTGCCTGTGTTTGTTGAGAGACTGACTTAAATTAGATGTGATTTGCTGCAGATTGCAACAAAAGTGAAGAACTTCTTCAGGATGTACTCTGCTAATAGACACAAGATGACAACACTGACCCCAGCATACCACGCTGAAAACTACAGCCCCGATGACAACCGCTTTGACCTCAGACCTTTCCTCTACAATACACTTTGGCCCAGACAATTTAGATGCATTGATGATAAGGTAGATATACGAAAGTTGGTCATGAACAGCTCAAATATTGTGACGGACTTTGTCAAATGTCACAGCTGTAAAAGCTTTAAGCATAATAAAATTAAAAAATTCAGTGCACCGTTTGATATACCCCTTGTTTTAGATAATGGAAACATTTAGAAAATGTTCTTCCTTTCTTCCAGCAATACTATATTTGTTTTTGAGAGTTTCAGGTTCTAAACAGATTTTAGGTTTGTAACACAACGAAATGTCTTTTTCAACAGGTATCTCAGATAGAGGCTACAAATAAGCAGCAATGACAAGGTCTTGACAAACAGCGGTAATCTGTTCCTGAGAACTTTTTAAAATATTTTCTGGTGCTGTATTGCCCATACAAATTGAGTTCATCCTGCATGGTCACTTTTTATGTAGTCCTTTATTGATATTGTGGATAGAATGAATGCTGGAGAATTAAGCAAAGTACAATTAGAAAAAGTTAATATCATACATTTGTCAGTTACCCCTGATTTGAGTAGTGATATTTACATCCTGTGCACTTTCCTACCCAATTGTGTCCTGTGTTGGAACAATGGACAGTGAAGACACGCTAATCCTGGACCGTTTACTGTATCACCACGAAACATTTATTGTTTTAGTGGTACTGATACGAATTACAAATTAATAATTGGAATGCAAATACTCTGCATCACATATGAGGCCAAATTGATTTTAAGTCTGATATATTAGTAAACCAAATTTGTACGAATGACGTTAGTTGGCTTGACTTAAATAGTAGTAAAATAAATATGATAGCTGAAATATGTCTTGTTTTGATCTTTGTTCAAGTATTTATACAACCCAAATCAGTATATGCGCTTGTATGTAGCGCTGTGTATTGTTAACTTCATCGTCGCCTTCTGTGAAATACCTAGAGCAGGGGATAGAGCAGTGAGACTAAATATGTCTCATGTGTAACGTCATGTGAAATTCCTATAATTGTACAGAATAGCAGTCGTGGTTGCGAAATGAAGACTCCTATGGGAGCATTCGCCATAATAATGTATCCGCAAACATACGCAAAACTTAAGTAAACAGAACTAATTAAATGCATATTGCAAGTTCTTTCAAAATCTACTGTATTAATTTCACGGCGGAGTGGCGATTTGCATACAATCTTCGGGATATAGTTTGATCGCGCCCTGTCACCTAGCTCTTCTTTATAGCATGGAAGCTGTCGCGCGTCACGCGACCATACAGATTTCATTTCCTTTGAGTGTTATCTTAAGTAATTTGGACTAATTTACCCCATTGTAACGCTTCAACTGTCTTAGTATCGCTCAGTACAAAGAGACGCAGAGTGGCGCAATTTATTGAGTAACACTGAAGGAGAAGTGGAGTATGAGGCGGAGACACGACTGGAGGAAGTTTCAGTAAGCATATAGTGCCCTGCGTTTCCTGATATTCCTTAAAATGGCTTTCGAGGTAACACAAGTGTAGCCACATTTTATACAGTGGTCATTTTCGCGAGTGATAATTTTCTCGTCTTTAGTCGCCCCGAAGGCGCTTCGATCATGGAAAACCAGCCTCTGTTAAATACACGTCTAAGTCGCAGTTCAGTAGATTACGGATATCACTCCAGCAGTAATCACAGCGGCAGAGAGACGCCTAAAACTAGGCGTTTGTCGTACTCCGTGGACAGAGATTCCTGCTGCACTGAGGGTGGTAAGTCAATACATCGGCAAGCCATCCCGATTGTGGTGGTCTTCAGTTATGGCACCCGAGACACCTGTGAACAAATTTTTCCATTATATATAATGTGAGATAGTATGAATAACTAAACAATAGAAACTTAAGAAAAAAACACATTCCGAAGTCAAGGTGTAAGTTGCAGTCGGTATGTTGGCACAGTGGTACATTAACGCTGTTATCTGATATATCTCTCGGAGCTGGGTTCGAGTCCCAGCCAGCACAGAAGTGTCCCCTGCGATGGATTACACGCCAGCCTTAGTGTTACACTTGTAAACGAACATTTCCGAAACAGTAAGCGAAATGTACAATGAGGGTAAACAACTTAGATGTTAAGGTAATTTAAAGGGTTAGCTAATATATTGATCATTTGATAAATATTTCGTCCAAACCTCGAAGAGAAAGATATTTCGAATGTAGTCAGCTAAAGAGTCTAGATGTCCTTTCTTAAAGCAAATAAAAAAGTACACGCTGTCATTTTCTTAAAACAGCGACACAGGGAAACAGAAGAAACCCAGCCCTACCAACCATTACAAAACGGAGTCATCCAGTTTATTATTATTTTTTTTTATAACTTACGCTTTAGTCACCTGAGAGTTGTCAAAGTATAAAGTTACCGCGTCATTGTAGCGGTACAGCGATAAGCTCAAACCGGTTTGGTCACTGTGTTACATTTACGCTTTCAGATAAAATTTCTGAATTACTAAGGAATGAGACGTACTATAATATTCCATGGTGGTCAGCTATGCAAACATACAGTGGAGGAAATAATAATTTGACCCCTCGCTGATTTTGTAAGTTTGTCCAATGACAAAGAAATGAAAAGTCTCAGAACAGTATCATTTCAATGGTAGGTTTATTTTAACAGTGACAGATAGCACATCAAAAAGGAAAATTGAAAAAAAAAAACACTAAATAAAATATAGAAACTGATTTGCATTTCATGGAGTGAAATAAGTATTTGAACCCTCTAACAAAAAAGACTTAATACTTAGTGGCAAAACCCTTGTTTGCAAGCACAGAGGTCAAACGTTTCTTGTAATTGATGACCAAGTTTGTGCACATTTTAGGAGGAATTTTGGTCCACTCCTCTTTGCAGATCATCTCTAAATCACTAAGGTTGAGGCTGTCTCTGTGCAACTTTGAGCTTCAGCTCCCTCCATAGGTTTTCCATTGGATTACGGTCCGGAGACTGACTACACTGTAAAAAATAAAAAGTTGGGAACACTTAAAAATATAAGGCAACCTGCTGCGAAGCATTTAAGTTCTCAACTTCATGCCCATGTAGTTGCACTGACTTAATTTCCTAAATTACACTGTTAGTTCTCACAGGGCAATACTTTAAGTTTCCTCAACTTCACTTTGCAAGCCTAATCAAATAGTAAGTGTGATTTTGCTAAGATTGAAATGATAAGTTGGGTGAACTATTATAACCCGAAGAAAAGCAAGTTAGCACAAGTACATGGTGATTGAAGTTGAGAACTTAGAAATGCTTTGCAGCTGGTTGCCTTACATTTCTAAGTCTGCTCAAATCCCTCTAAACTTATTTTAAGTTTAACGAAAAACAAAGAATTAAAGGCAATTAATTACATGTTCATCTTAATCATGACAGACAACAAATTATTAAATACAACTTTTTATTTCACTCCTTTTTGAACATCGTGTATACACACTTTATTCCTTGAAATTCAAAAAGGTTAATAAGTACAATCTCTTGCAACACCACACTCCACCTTAAAAGATCACTGCTGATACGCACACACTTCAGCAAAGCACCACAAGAAAGATGTGTGCCCTAATTATTAGGCATATATACTAAACATGCCTGATTGCATATGAGCAGAACTTTTATGTCAAAAAAACCATTACATCTTTGAACACGTCACAAAAAAGAATTCCTCTCTCACTGGGCATACACAAACACTTCTTTGCATTTAAAAAAAATCTTAGTTACATAAAAGAAATCCTGTAATATCACCAATCTCTGCAACAAAGTCATACAGGTCCAAATAAGAATGCATATTACAATCATGGATATGATAAGGTTTCGCAAAAAAATTTAAATGGGGTGCTTGTTGTGGAATTTGTCTATGTGCTCAAGATGAAGTCACATTTAACGCACCTGGATTTCTGGAAGTGCAAACACTCAGGATAGAGACAGGGTAATGATGAAGAGTGGCCTTGATAGTGACAACCTGCAGTGCTTCAATAGTACATCAGGAGGGGGATTCTCAAAATTTGCACTGCATTCCAAACCTGAAAGCACATTTTAAAATGAGAAATGCTTAGAATCAATTCATCCAAAAATAACGTATAGCCTAACATGTCTTTATGGTTATTGAAGCAATCTCTGTAAAAATATTTTAGCATAAATTTTAGGTCTGTTATGTAGCTATAATGATACTGTATCATGGAGCATAATACGTATTCATACATTACCCGTAAAATTCTACTGACATGATCAGGAGGCATAGAAACCATGAATTCTGAACGCACACAACTGCTACGCTATGTTTTGGCGCTCTCAATAGGACATGTTTAAGCATGGCTGTGGCGCCATCCTCAGAGTAGCATTACTCGCTAGTGTTCGACTTCAGTAAAAATAGGCTACTGAGCCATCTTTTTTTTTTTTTAATCTTTCCATTACTGTTAAATTCTGCTGTTGAGATCATGATCCCTTATCAGAAATACATCTCAGCATCTCAAATATCTGTATTACACTTCAGGCAGCCAACAGAATATTTATGTAAAATGCAAAGCTAATGTATAATATGATAGCTAATGTTAGTTGGCCTAAGTTAACCTTAATGCTAACATTACCGCGTCACATCTCCCGCCAAAATTACCGTGGTCACTTTAATTAAAAGAAATTTTTAATACCAGAAATGACATTTATTCTGCCATCTCATGTAGTTCACCTGTCACATATTGGTTGCATTGTCATTTGGCTAACATTGCAAAAAGAAAAGTCGATACGAAATTACTGAAAGGCTAAGTTTAACATTCGTTTGGTATATACATGCCAATCTTGTCACTTAAACTGTCTAAACAAAACTTAATAGCAATGAACATAGCACAAAAGTAGAAGTCAGTCTTACCTTATGCTTTGCAACGTGGGAAAAGCGCTTCCTCGCCGAAACTTGTAGGCATCCAAACCGTTTCTTTCCAAGGGGGGGGGAGGGAGGAAGTGCACATGCGCAGTGACGGAAAGTACACGGAGTCGACTAAAACTTAATGCCATTTAACGCAACTTTCTCATTTCCCTTGAACATTAGAAGAAAAATAACTCATGTTTATAAGTTACCTGAACATTTATTAGGTGTAATTGCTTTTTCAACTTAGAATCTTCATTTCAGTTAACGATTTTGAAGGTTAGATTTTTTACGGTGTAGGCCACTCCATGACCTTAATGTGATTCTTCTTGAGACACTCCTTTATTACCTTTGCTGTATGTTTTGGGTCATTGTCGTGCTGGAACACCCATCCACAACCCATTTTCAGTTTCCTGGCAGAGGGAAGGAGGTTGTTGCTCAGGATTTTACGATACACGGCTCCGTCCATTTGCCCGTTGATGCGGTGAAGTTGTCCTGTGCCCTTAGCAGAAAAACACCCCCAAAGCAAAATGTTTCCACCTCCATGCTTGATGGAGGGGACAGTGTTTTGGGGGTCATAGGCAGCATTTTTCTTCCTCCAAACACGGCAAGTTGAGTTAATGCCAAAGAGCTTAATTTTGGTCTCATCTGACCACAGCACCTTCTCCCAGTCACTCTTTGAATCATTCAGGTGTTCATTGGCAAACTTCAGATGGGCCTGCACATGTGCCTTCTTGAGCAGTGGGTCCTTGCGAGCACTGCAGGATTTTAATCCATTGCGGTGTAATGTGTTTCCAATGGTTTTCTTGGTGACTGTGGTCCCAGCTACTTTGAGGTCATTAACCAACTCCTCCCATGTAGTTTTAGGATGATTTCTCACCTTTCTCAGAATCATTGACACCCCACGAGGTGAGATCTTGCGTGGAGCCCCAGACCGAGGTCGATTGATGGTCATTTTGTGCTCCTTCCATTTTCAAACAGTTGCACCAACAGTTGTCACCTTCTCTCCCAGCTTCTTGCTAATGGTTTTGTAGCCCATTCCAGCCTTGTGCAGGTCTACAATTTTGTCTCTGACATCCTTGGACAGCTCTTTGGTCTTTCCCATGTTGGAGAGTTTGGAGTCTGCTTGATTGATTGATTCTGTGGGCAGGTGTCTTTTATACAGGTGACTAGTTAAGACAGGTGTCTTTAATGAGGGTGACTAATTGAGTAGGAGTGTCTAACCACTCTGTAGGAGCCAGAACTCTTAATGGTTGGTAGGGGTTCAAATACTTATTTCACTCAATGAAATGCAAATCAGTTTCTATATTTTATTTAGAGTTATTTTTTCAATTTTCCTTTTGATGTGCTATCTGTCACTGTTAAAATAAACCTACCATTGAAATGATACTGTTCTGAGACTTTTCATTTCTTTGTCATTGGACAAACTTACAAACTCAGCGAGGGGTCAAATAATTATTTCCTCCACTGTATATATAAAATCAAATTGCCAATTTGATCACGTTTTTTACAAAGCAGCTTTGCTATAGCTTAACTTTTTCCACTGTGAAGTAACTGGTATCTTTGAAAGCATCTCCATGGTCATTGTTATAGCACATTCGAACAAAACTAGTAAGCTACTGACAGCGATCTGTGCCAATTATACCTCTGATATGAAAAGTCAAAGTTATAGTAATCTTTTGGAAATGTTCTGGGAAGGCCTGGTAAAGAGAACCATTTAACGCCAAGATTTCATTTTACCTTTTTAGAGACAGATATTTGCTAAATGTTTAATATAGTTGAGTAAGGTAAAATAAGGACACTGCACAGGAAGGCATTTCACTGTCCTGGCAACTATGTCCAAAATATTGGAAGTTCTAGGCTGAGCTACTGGCAAAACCAAAGCAGAACACCCCAATATGTAGAAAACTCAGTAAAATCACCTGACCCTCCCCCGCGATGTGGACAGTATCTAATCCACCTCCTCGTTCCTCACATTCCTCTTTGAGTGCAATATATTTAAATGCTTGTTTTCACAATTAGGTCTAAAATTATCCTATATCAGTGTTGGTTATCGTGTGTATAGGTTAATAAACAACTATCTCTCACTTTACTTAGTGCTAGGCCTCATGGGGAAAAAATTGATGAATTTGTTCTCAACAAAAGCAAAACCATACATACACTTACACTTCTAGAAGTAGCACTGTAAGAGAACAACTGGCTTCATCTATATTATTAAATTGGAGCCTGAGATTGATAAATGACTACTGTGGCAATAAAACTTAAAATATGCATGCCAAACTGCCTTTTTAATTATTGACTGATAAGATGAAAGATAGGATAGACAGATATTATTTTGAATTATGAATGCTTATTATATAAGAAATGTAGCACTCCAGAAATACGTTAGCTTGGTCCTGGTGTGAGTTCTGTACTGCCTGGGCTGTTATTCCAGTGTTTCACATTATGCAGGACTGTAGTAAGTCCAGTTTCTTATCAGTTATGTAGCTCCATGGACTGGAGGTGTCTCTGTAGCCTGTCCAAACTCTTATCTTTTGCCATCAATTTTCTATTGTGTCTTCAAGATGAGGAAGACCTGTATATTCAACAAGCAGTCGTATTTATTGAAGATGCCATACAGGTAAGGCTGTCTTATTCGTCGCCTTCAGTGTTTTTCATCATTCTGCATTATTTCTGAAATAAATATTTTTTAATAGTATCGGTCCATCAACCATCGTGTCGATGCAAGATCACTGCATTTCTACCGATGGTACTATTCCAGAATCTGCCAGTGGTAAGTTTGAGCTATGGTCGTTATTTAGCGATGATTTTCCCCTGGTGGGACCAAAATTTTAGGGCAAATATAATAGGCGTAAAAGTGTATGTGTTTTTTCGCACTATAACAGAGTAATACATCAGCTTACTGAATAGTTGACATGATGGTGCTTTTTGGTTCTGTTCCCTGTGTGCGTAGGGGTCTTGGTTTGGCCATTGCAGTCATCCTCTGTTTGGCATTCATAGAGAAACCCTCTTCCCTGTCCATCACCTCCGATCTGCGATATAAGAAACCCCCCTGGGAGCCCCCATGTGGGTTGACTGAGAGCATTGAGATTGTGTGTCTCATCATCTTTTTCCTTGACCTATCTATGAAGGTAACTGCTCAAGTAAATCCAAAAATAACATTGCAAAATACTATGGAATTATCTTCATGCTTTTGGAATTTCATGGTCAGTTACACAGGGATTACATTATTTTGTCTTTAGCAGTTATGTAGAGTAACCCAGGATGGAGTGCCAGCCCTTTGCAGGATATACAGACACACACACACACACACACACCATTCAGACACACATTCACACTTATGGGCAATTTGGTAACTCCAATTTTCCATTGCATGTTTTTGGACTGTGGGAAAATGGAGTACCCAGAGGAAACCGCATAACAACACAGGGCAAACATCAAAACTCCACGCACGTAGAGCAAGGGCAGTGCCTCGAACCCCAGTCGCAGAGGTGTGAGGCTAATCACTGTGTCACCGTGCAGCTCCATGTTGCCACATAATGCTTAAATGCAGAACAAATAGCATTGATGAATATTTCTGTGTTGAAGATAAGGCCAAACTTGTTAAAGCTAACAGAATGGCCACATTTTGGAAAGATAACAGCTTATCAAATAAAGTATGGGAGGTATTTTCTGCAAAAAAATAAAATTAAAATGAAAATGATAAAAAGGAAATACAATCTCCACTTTTCCATTTACTTCCCAAAGTCTGTGCGTAAAAATCCTGCACAAATTAAAATTAAAATGAAATAGCACTATTTGCATTTTAATTTTCCACTCATGTATGAGTCAGATGTGAAAAATTGAAAAATAAAATTAAAAACCCTTTTTGTCTTTTCATTTTCCAATTTGACTTTTCATTTCCTACTTTGGCTTTTCATTTTCAAGTTCACTACATGCAAATATATGTTAATCGGAGCGGGGCGGTGGGCGGGGCTACTGATCACTGCTGCGCTTCTCAGTGCGTTTGCCGATTCCTTTCTTCTTGTGTTTCTTGCCCGTGTCGCCCGTGTCGCCCAAACTAATGGCAAAGTCACACGCGGCTTAAGTTAGCTACTAGCTACAGCTTCCGATTCATTTAGCTTCTTATTCGTAGCATCTTATTTCACGACTTAAGTTACTTGCAGCTTCCTTATAGGGGAGTGTTCGAAGCTGCACATGCTGTGCAGTTTTTAGTTAAAACATTTTGAAAATACGAAATTAAATATTATGTCGTGCGATATAATGGCAGGTATGCCATTGTAAGGAAACACTGAAATTAGCCTGGGTCAGACTGCCATGTTTTCAGCTAGGTAGCTATCTGGCCTAGGCTAATTTCAGTGTCATTAGAGTGGCATGCCTGCTGTTTACTATGCATTTCATATTTGCCTTACCCAAGATGAATAAGACCTCCGAATTACATTTGGAAATATGGCTTCTTATTCAAATAAGTGTGAACAATTGATCAAAGTGTCATGCGACCAGTTTACTGTTACAAATGAAAGATCACATTATGCCCAGGTAATTCCACCATTTTCAATACAGGAAGACTTTCTTCTACGAAATAAATATACGTTCTCAAACCTTTTATTTATACGTTATTTTGTATTTCCAACTTAAGCCCCGAAATTAGACGCTACGAATAAGAAGCTAAATGAATCGGAAGCTGTAGCTAGTAGCTAACTTAAGCCGCGTGTGTCTTTGCCATTAGTTTGGGCGACACGGGCGACACGGGCAAGAAACACAAGAAGAAAGGAATCGGCAAACGCACTGAGAAGCGCAGCAGTGATCAGTAGCTCCGCCCACCGCCCGCTCCGATTAACATATATTTGCATGTAGCGAACTTGAAAATGAAAAGCCAAAGTAGGAAATGAAAAGTCAAATTGGAAAATGAAAAGACAAAAAGGGTTTTTAATTTTATTTTTCAATTTTTCACATCTGACTCATACATGAGTGGAAAATAAAAATGCAAATAGTGCTATTTCATTTTAATTTTAATTTGTGCAGGATTTTTACGCACAGACTTTGGGAAGTAAATGGCAAAGTGGAGATTGCATTTTCTTTTTATCATTTTCATTTTAATTTTATTTTTTGCAGAAAATACCTCCCATAATAAAGTGGCATCTGAGTATAAATATGTAGGAAATCAATGTGGGTTGCCATTGTGGTAATATCTACAGCATGTAGTCCACTGTCTAGGACATACATTTTGTTATACTTGCATATCCCTTTCAAGGATGAGTTTGCCTGTCACATCAGCCAGTGCTTTGGCTGGTGCAATTTAGGATAACACCTAACATCATGATTAAAGTAAAAGTAACACAACTTTTAAAACCACAATTTCAAAATACTCCCTGTTGACATACTCAGAATTTTCATTTGTTGTGAATGGTCTGTGCATGTCTATTTTTATGCTTGCTGGAATACAGGAACCGCTGTCCAACTCAACTGGATGATCAAATCCAGAAACATAATTTGCTATTTGTAGGAACAGGCTGTTTGAGTTGACGAGCAAGTTTGACTAATAATATTGGCACTGGGTGTTAATGGAGTTCAGGGGCGCCGCCAGAAATCTTGGGCCCCATGAAAGATTAGAATTAGAGGCCCCCCCCCCCCCCCCCCTTTTTGCGAAAAGGTAAAGCCCCTAACAGGGCCCCATGTCAGTGCTGGGCCCCTAGAATCGTTCTAACCTTCCCCCCCCTGGCGGCGCCCCTGATGGAGTTAATAGTGATATCTTCGTTGTATTGGTAGAGTTACCTTTTTGGATGGGAGGAGTTTCAGAAGAACAAGTGGCTGATTGGGTATGCCGTAGTCATTGGAATGTCTGTCATTGATTGGACATTATCGGTGAGCATGATCTGCAGTGAGGTGAGGATGTTTCATTTAGTTTAGCTTGTGAAATTTTTGCATGTTTCATATAATTTTTTCATCTTTCATATTGTGCTATATAGCATGTCATTGCAGTAAATTCCCAAGTTCGTTAAAAATGTAACATTTTCCAAATTACATAATCTAACATAATATATAATTTTACACATTAAGATCATATGTAATATCTGCACTCTCATGGGTTTACAAGGTATTATGAATATATATTATGTTCAAAGCTATGTTGTCATTGTTTGATAAAATGTCAAATAACAAATTTCAAACTGCAGACTTTGAAGATCAGACGAATTTTCCGACCATTCTTTCTCCTTCAAAACTCATCCCTCATGAAAAAAACCTTAAAATGCATAAAAAGGACACTTCCAGAAATCACAAGGTATTTCATGCTGCTTGTAATCAGGCATATGTGCAATAGCTTTGCAAAACAAATGTTCTCGTCATTGGCTGCAGTGCCCTGTTTATGCTCTACTGCCATGTTTCCCAACCCGGTCCCCAGAGACCCACAGATGTTCCGTATTTTTGCTCCCTCCCAGCTCCCAGCAAAAATGTGGACTGTCTGGCAGGGAGCAGGGAGGGAGTAAAAACGTGGACTGTCTGCGGGTCCCCAAGGACTGAATTGGGGAACACTGCTTTATATGAGTGTCTTCATTGGCTGAACCTCACTAGTGCCCAGTGCTTCTTTTCCCTCATTATTTAACAGCAGGCAGTACATGCAAAGATACAAAGTGACCCAGTAAGTGTTTGTCTGCTTTCCCAGTGTGATCCTGTTGATTGCTTTGCATCTCTGCTTGTTCACCATGTTTGGAATGCTGATCTTTGCCAGGGGAGAGGTATGATTTGTACTTCTTTAAGTCATTCTCTACGTAACACATGCAGAAAGGCCGTCAATAAAATGCCCCCAGTTTAACTGATAAATGTTATAGGTATTGGATCTGTTTTCGCCTAGGACCCAGATGACAACAGAGAATGGGAAGGATATTTCCAAAACTTACCACAATCCATAACATCATTACTGGTACTTCTTACCACTGCAAACAACCCTGATGGTAGGTTCATTTTCTCAGGGCTGGATAATTTTGTATATAAGTATGCGATTAATTACGAAGTAAACTGCATACATATGCCGTTTCAAAATACAAAGCATTTGTATGAATTAGTGTACATATACAAAATTTGTTTTAAAGTGGACATTGTTCATTTGTGTTGAGTAAAATATTGAATTTATGAGTGACTGAATTAATTTACTACATAATTAACTCACCCAGCACCACTTTTCCAGAATAGGCATGCATTAAGCCCATAGCTTATCACAAGAAACATAAGGCACAAGGCTCCATCACAATGCGTACACCCACACAAACACATCATGGGCAATTTAGGGGCACCAGTTTCCCCAATCGCATGTTTTGGACTGAGGGAGCAAGCCTGTACAAATTAGGGAGAGATCATCAACTCCAAAAGCTAAACACACATGGAACCAAGGTCAGGAGTGAAGGCTACAGCTCCGGATGTGTGAGGATGGAGTTCTAGCCTTTGGCTCACTCACTTTTGTCGGTAAATAATCAAACTTACTCACTTGCTTAACCTTCTTTTTTATTAACCAGTGATGATTCCAGCATATTCTTTAAGCCGAGGATACTCCATCTTTTTCATCCTCTTCAATGGCTTTGGTAAGTACTGAGATATGCAATATATATATGTATATTGATCGACACAGATTTGTAACCTGAAGAATTAGAGTTAACCAGAGTATTTTAGGTACTGAAAAGACTGCAACGAATTTCTGAGTACCTCTGAATATAGTTCAGAGAACATCACCTTACTCAGAGGTTTTGTGTACATAATTATTTAGTTAAATCCCTATCCTTTAATGATGCATACTGATTTTTCCTTAAGTGTCCAGACAAGAAGACATCATGTACCATACTAAACAGAATGTTGAGGGCCTCGGGCAGAGGGTGCTAAAAAGCAGCATTGCTCATTGCTACTTGTCTTAATTTTGCGAAACTTCTGTAGAATTTTGGAAGGAAGTTCTCCAGTTGGATTAGTCAAAAATATTCTCATTCCTACAACCAAGCACATTGCATACCACTATGAAAATAATCCTGTCCTAGCTGTCTAAAGTGATGGTAAGAGATTCTTAGTCTGGGCCAACTTTTTCATCATTTAACTTAAACACTTAATGAGATTTTGAAAGTTGTGTAGAAGGCACCATTTATTTCTTTCTAATTTTTACTTATTTTAACTCTTTTAGGAACCTACTTCTTAATGAATCTTCTTACTGCTGTGATATACAACCAGTTCAGAGGATACTTACTGGTGAGCCTGGGGTTAGCTTTATATAACCACAGTTTATAAAACTTTCCCCCATTTAAGAAATCTGTTTTTATTATTTTTTTTAGCTTATGGTTATAATAAACCAATATTTTTTAATGAAAAAATAGCCAGTTCTCAAATGACACATTCAGTACCTTTATTTAAACCTTACTTTCTCCTAATTAAGAGTTTGCCAGTATTGAAGATCAGGTGACACATTGCCAGACGGAGAAACAGTGAAAGAACATAAATGCAAACTGACCAGCAAATTGCAATGAGGCCCTTGATATGTTCATATGATACTGTAGTCTGTAATGAGCCATTGTAGTTGTCTGGTCCAGGCACTTACCATCCGTTTATTTCACAGATGTCTATCCAGGCATCCATACTGAGGAGGCGGCTGGGTATCAGGGCAGCATTTGAGGTCATGTTCCAAGGCCAAGCCAAAACACAGACTGAAGAGCACATGTAAGTCCTTGTCACTTACCTAATACCTAAAGGTAGTGTACTTGTAATTCTGATCATATTATTAGCAATACTAGCAGTTCAATTTAGCATGACTGGTTCTCCTCCCTGAGGTGCTTTGTCATGTCATGCTCCTTACCTTACTCTCTTTTTAAACTTAGATAATATTTTTATTTCTGGTGTGTATATACAGCACTGTGAAAAAGACTTAGGCAATCAAAGAAAATTGTTTAAATGATTTTCATATTGGTGTAAAACTATGATATTTTTCTGTCGAAGTGTGTCAGTTTAGCCATTTCAAAACCTCCCCTGAATTCACCCCAGTATTTGCAGTAAAACAATAAAAAGTAAAATCAAATAAAACTTTATTTCTCTATGCATATTTAAGGTGTATCACTACAGATTTTTTTATGAAAGAGGGTTTTTAAAGTTTGCCGTCCGACTTCTGCCATACTTTTTTAATGTGCGTGTATTCCCTGGGGTTTTCCCCAAGTCAGTGTGTGCAGGTGGACACCGTGCTGAAGGTGATGAAGAAGGTGCACATGAAGTCTTACCACAGACTAGCCATCATGGCGGTAGGAATTGCAGTCATGGGGATTGGTGTAAAAGGGATTGTGAGCAGGGTGGTTAATGATAGATGGGTTAAGCTGGATAGATCCGTGTTTTCCAACCCCGGGGACCCACAGGTGGTGGCCATCTGACAGACAGTCCACATTTTTGCTGAGCTGGGAGGGAGCAAAAACGTGGACTGCTGCGGGTCCCTGAGGATTCTGATTGAGAAACACTTATGTAAATAGTATTGTGGTGAGCTGGCGATCACTCAGTGGTGCATGCAGCCATTAATGTGTCAGTGTAGCTCTCATTCAGTTGTTTTCCTGTTCAACTTTTAGTGTAACCCTTCTCCATTGACCTTATTCTAATCAGAAAGTCCAGCAATTTTCCAGTGGCGATATTCAAGGGAAAGATTTTCAGAGGCTTTTTGACGAGTTGGACAAGGACCACATCCAGGAGGTATCCATCTACCACATCCTCTAGGACATACATATTCTGTCAGTGGGAATGCTCATCTTCTACAATAAATACCATGGAAACAAAGAATCAACCATTCCTTATATAGGAATATATAGCATTTAGCTGTAGATTTCAGTATGTGAAACCATATATATGTACCATCTGAAGTTTTTTTTGTTGCGACTTTACAGTAAGACTACCCTTACAAAGGGTTTATGAATGATTTATATTCAGGGTATTAATTTGGTTGTAACAATTTGTCAATCATTAATTGTAAGGGTGGAGATTTGGGTATGGATGGTATGGTGTCCATATCAATATTGTGGCAGTACTGTGGGCGTTTAGGGTGTTGGGGTGTGGGGATTGGGGCTGATTAATAGACTGTTATAAACAAGTCATAACACTTTGTTTTTTCTGTTGAGTTACTACCATTATAAGTAGCAAAAAGGAAGCCTCATTGTAAAGTTGCACAACTTCTTTTTTTTCCCGCAGCATCCTTCATTACCTGAGTATAACTACAGGTTCCTTCAGAGACTTCAGTTTGTTTTTAGCCACTATTACTTCACTGTGGTGGGGAATGTGGTGGCACTCACCAATGTCATCTGCATATGTGTAAGCCAAGCACCCTTAATAATGAACATTTTAAGAAACCTTTTATACAGTTAAATTGATTATTAACTTTCCTTAGGTGAGTATTACTGTTAATAAACATCTCATAGAGGAATCTTTGAAGTATATTCTGCTTTTTTCTTTCTTAATTTTTCAGACTATACTGGTAATTGATTCTGAGAAATCCATCTCAGATCGAGATAACTACTATCTAGGGGTAAGTGGTGTTTGTAGCCCAAGCAGGTTTTGAAAGGAAACATTGTATATTCTGTGGATTTATGGATTTTTACTTTGAACTCTGAAAAAAGTCACTTAATGCTGAATTGAAGTATTCATGTCTCATCACAAAGGCCACTTTTGCAGTACAGTACTTACAGTATTTGTTTACTTTTTTTCAAGGCCATAAACTGCTGCTTCATTTTGTACTACCTAACTGAGACGGGACTGAAAATATTTTCCTTGGGTTGGAGAGGATACCTTTCTTACAGAAGCAATATTTTTGATGGGTTAATGACAGTCCTTCTCCTGGTATGTGCAGACTGTATTTTACAATTTGACTCAATCTGACAAGTTCTCAAATTGTTAAAAGTACACATTTACGTTATTTTAGTCGAAAAATCGACAGTTAATGACCATCTCTATTTTCGAGGCATTTGCACTGCACTTGAAAGAATCCATTGTGTCTTAAAAATCATTTTCTCCGTATTGTAACATACCACCCCTTTCCTTTCTCTTACAACAAAAGTGTCTCCAGATCGCCATATTTGCTACTTACAGATTTCCACAACGGTATGTATTTTTACTGATATTATTCATTCTCCATATTTATAAGCTATTATTTATTACTGGGATCTTCTTACGATATTAGTCTCCATGGTGACCAGACATAGATCCTCTTCTGATGATCTCTGTGTCTGCATGTCTGCTGGATTACATTCCATTAACTGTACCACTTATGTCATCAAAAGGTGTCAAAATAGATTTTCGTTATTGATGCCATCATATTCTATATTATAATTTAAATAAAAGAAAGGATTTTTAATTTATTTGAGATGATACAAAAAGATCATATCTCAAAATATTTAAAAAAAAACAATGAAAGGGAAAAAAAAATGTTCCAGGTTCCCCACGCAGCCAGGCGTTCTCTCCTTGTGGGAGATGGTCCGTCTGGTGAACATGCTAGTCGTCTTCCGCTTCCTCAGGATCATTCCAAACATAAAGGTAACCAAACAGACCTTTTTATTTTATCTCTACATTCAGTGTACAGAATGATGCTGAATCTTACTTTTAAAGTCATGTGTTTGCATGTAATATTTTAATATAATGTCACCTTGTGGCAGTTACTTTACTAAAGGAACCATCTCCCCAAACTCCATATTAATTTTGAACAGCCTGTTATGTAATATCAAACATTTTCCTATAGAAATGAATATACATAACTATGAACCACACATTTTATTTTTAGCTGTTGTGTTTGTACTTTTTTAGCTGATGGCTCTGGTAGCCAGTACTCTGGTGGATCTGGCCAAAAACCTCAGGGCATTTGCTGGGATCTTGGTGGTAAGTAGCTTGCCATGATATATTCACGAAAAGTACGTCATTTACAGCCTTTAAAATGACCTCCATGCTAACAGATAATGTGTTTCCCTCTTCTCTAACATTTCTCTGTTAAGGTGGTGTACTATGTTTTCGCTGTGCTTGGTATTTGGCTGTTTCAGGGATCAATCAAAGCAACATCAAACAAGTAAGAAGACCAACATTTTGTTCAAAAGCTTATTATTCGTTTTACATTTACATTTCTTCAGGTGAATTTTGCGTTGCGTGACATTCAGCCAAGTTTTAATTTTTTTTTCTTAGAATCTGCCAATGGGAACAATAATTTGGTGCGTTAGTGACCAGTTAGATTAACGTATTTTACATATATTGAGACATGTCTTTTTCAGTACAACCGCCAACGTCAGTCTGACAAACATCACCATTAACTACACGGCACAATGTGGGACATACGAACAGCTAGGCTACTGGCCGAACAATTTTGATGATTTTGCTGTGAGTATTGTAAAATTACAAGCAACAAATATAATCCAGGACATTTTTATTATGGTTAAATGGTAAACCTAAATATTTAGAGAAAGCAGTGTCTGGAATGAAGATAAATATTTTCTGTCCACAATACATCTGTTTGAGTAGTACATACAGTCAGGGGCGCTGCTAAGGATTTTGGGCCCCATGAAAAGAATCTTGACAGGGCCCCCAACTATTTTTTACTATCAGCACCACAATTTTATTGGGGGCTTCTCTGGGCCCCCTCTCAGTCATGGGCCCCGGGAATCGTCATCGTTTACCCCCCCTTTACAGCGCCCCTCCATACAGTAACTGTCAGTGTACAGTGCTAGTCATATTTAAGGCATGTTCGTTATTATTAGTAACAATTCTGCCAAATGTGTTACTCTGTTTTTGTTATTGGTTGACTGCCATAACAATCCTCATGTTCTTGATCTTTCCGCTCTCCTCCCATTGGCTGTGCCCAGTCCACGCTAGTGCTTCTGTACAACATCATGGTAGTGAACAACTGGCAGGTCTTCATGGAAATTTATGCCAGACAGACTAATGAGTAAGTTCATAGGGCACCGTGGCGATGCCATATTCAAATGAATGACTGTGGTGGGTGGCCCTGTTTGTATCTCTACTCATTCATTATTATATTCATTTATCAGACGGCCTACTTATGTAGATTTTTTCCAATAGTAACTACCCATCTGTATAAATGGCACCGTTTTAGATTAATACCAGATTTTTTAAAAGTAATTATAATAATGATCATTGGGTAATGCTTTACATTAACTGCACCTTCATAATGCATTCATAGAGCATTCATTAGCATGTAAGCATAGTTTAACATCCTAACATACCTTAACAGCTGTAATAAACATCAGTAGCAAACATTATATGACAATAACAAACATTATAATAAAATCATGTTTGTTATTAGTGTATTTTAAAGCTGTTAAAGTATGTTAAGATGTTGTGGTATACTTCCATGCTGCTTGTGAATGTTCTATGAATGCATTATGAAGGTGGACTGAATTTTCTATGAACACATAATGAATTATTATACATTACTGTTAATGTAAAGCGCCACCAATCATTTTTGTCGTTGTTGTTTAACCTGCTCTCTCTGAAGGTGGTCAAAAGTCTACTTTGTGTGCTGGTGGCTGACATCTTCTGTCATGTGGGTGAACCTGTTTGTGGCCTTGATTTTAGAGGTGAATCCAGAGTTTTTTTCCATCGTTATTTAAGGGAGAAATTAGTAGTGAGTATAGTAGTAGTGACAATAAAAATTGAAATTCCCTCTTTTCCAGAACTTCATCCACAAATGGGATCGTAGCTATGGTTGTAGTGTTTCAGACCATGAGAGAATTGGATGCCAGATGACAGTACAACTAATGTTCAGGTAGAGCAGAAGCTTAATGCTTCTTTTGATTATTTAAAATCTGATTTTTTTTTTTTTGGTTTTTTGAATGTTTTGCAGGATAGACTTAAAGACCTACAGCTTACAAAATACTCCACTTCGTCTGCTATTACTGTGAAATTATGATGAGAATTACTGTAATCATTAGTGCTTGACATTACACTTCTAGCCTGCCAATGCTTACCAATTGCAGTTGGCTAATTAATCTCACCCATGTAACATTGTTCATAGTAGTGTTATCTCATGAAACCTGAAAAAAAATAGTTTTAGCCATCAGGATATTTTTGAATTTGTCATTTTTCTGTCCCAGGGAGAAAAGAGACACAAAATTCATAATGATGGTCAGGGCCATTTTTACTTTAATGCTAAGCTCTACACTGCTTTATTTTTTCCATAATTCAATAAGACTTCCTACCCATTCTTGATAGCTTCTTTAACCCAGAATTGAGGATGTGGATGTTTTTCTTTGCCCTACGGATAGTGTTGCCCCATTGTTTTTTTTGTTCTTCGGTCCTGTGATTCTTGGCATACAGAAGGTTTACCTATTGATCTTTTTCTGTTGTGTTTTTGTGTCGTCTTTAAGAGAACACATACAGGAACCAACGGAGGAAGAGCTAGTGACTCAACTCCACCAACATCCCCACATGCTCCTCATCCAGTGAACCATCATGTATCTATTGGTGCTCCCAGTTCTTTTTGCCTTTTTCTGCTCATTCAGGGACAATTTAACCAAACCAGACTGGGCGGACTTTACAACCACCCACTTAGGAGTTTACAAAAATGTCCTTCAAATAGATCATAATTCGGATGTACAATTACTCATTTCAATCCTTCCATCTTCATATTGCATCTCCCATACATGTGTATAGGTAGTTTAAATACTCGATATTTTGAAATATCAGTTATTATACTGTTGCCACTCTTCACTCTAACTAATATATTATGATTTGTGTAATTAAAAGCCATGCTCCTCACTCTGTATATACATTTTGTTGGTGTTGCACTTTTACTTTTGTGATGCTGGCTGAAAGACTAACAGTTTGGTTAAGTATTTTACTTCAGTGTAACACTATCAGTGAGTGATGAAAATGTACAGTAACAAAATTTTTAGGTGGGTTGTTTATTACAATCCTAATTTGAAAAATAATCACATGGTACAGTTCTCATTTGGTTCTGTACAATAGAACTTAAGGTTCTAAAAAGCCGCATATCCTTGGCTAATGCACTTTTTGGTGATCAATGGTAAAATATACATTTTTTTTTTCTTTGCAGGATTAGGGAACAAGCTGTGCCGTAATAATATTGTGTATCTGATCCTATAGATCCTACAATGTTAAATTCTAGCACAACTGATGTTTTGCACACTGAAGCCGTTTCTCAGTTTTACAGGTATACAAACAATGAAATAAATCACCAAGACATACACCAATTTACAAAAGTTCACATCAGGAAGAACACAGTATTTCTGTAAGGAGTGGTGATGCTCAATGCCATGAAAGCAGCATATATTTATTGGTATATAAATCCTGTTCAAATGCAGGGTACGATAACAGGAGAACAATGAACAATCCTTAGAGCTGACGACTGTTCCACAGACCTCCTCCAACCCACACTACCTTAGTTCCAGCACTTTCCCCAAGTTGGAAAGAGATCCTGGGCCTTCTCAAATATTATTCAGTGCACTGTGAGAGTTAATAACCTGCTCCAGCAAGCAGCAATCCTTCAAAAGGACAACCCTCCAGCTGTACTGACAAATTCACGGAAATCGGTCAGCACATTTAGGAGGGAACAGACCTGAAAGAGCAACAGATCTCAAAGTAAATTCCATCAGAGATATGATCACAAAAATACTAAGTTTAAAACCAGAACATAAAAAAAATGTTAAAGGAAACAAAGCAATGGTACTCAAAATTAGTTGCACAAGTTAATTATAAGTGACAGACAACTGCTTTTCACCTTAGTTGAAATGTACACATTTTATGACATCTGTTTTATAGCTGATAATTATATGGATATCATTTCAGTACAATCCTGCATCCACTAGTACAACGCACACATATTACTCTGCAGAACAGCCTATACATCCTGAATTGGTTTCCATACCTGTCTGAATTTTGCACGAGTCTTTGTTATGTCTTGTTGTAGATTTTCATACTGGGCATCATCGTATGGAAAGCTCTGGAGTAATGCAAGCAGGGTCTCCAGAGTTTTGAGTTTCTTCCTACTATAAAAACAAATATACAAAATATTCAAGAACCTCAAGTACAACAGCAGATTCTGTATGGTGTATCTGTGTTTTTACAAAGCTTTCAGGAAAGACCATCTCTTACTGTGTATTGACCTCTGTGCTGTTCTGAAGAAGGCATTTCCAAGTCAAAGCAAATCCGTAGTAGAATGACATCTAATAAATTTTGCAATTTACAATACAATGGTGTCAATAAGAATGATCTCATAAAACCTCTAAAAATAACTTAACATTTTTTTAAATTAAATAAAGTACACTTTAAATAATATACAATATCACAACAGAACTGATGGAGATGCGTATTGTCTAAAAGCTACCAATGTATTTGAAGGATGTGCACATGTGGGAAACTTAATATACTAGAGATTTACTGTGTTATCATAAGCATCAGACTTAATCTTTCATAATATAAAAATACTTCACTTTAAAAACTAACCTCTATATATCCTCTTAATATCGATAAACACAACTGAAACTTTTCTGAAAAACTTTAACCTTTAGCAAATATTCTCATTAAGGAACTTATTGCTGCGTTAAGTTTTCACTAGAACAAGCGGGGTTTTTGACACAGTTCTACCACCGCCGATGACAGGTTAGACATACTTCTAGTGAAAGCTTGGCTCCATGGGTCCCTCCGTGGTTTCTTCCTTCAGTTAGCCCTTGACGGGTCCCTTCCTCGTAACCTTCCCGGTAACCTTCGACGTGGAACCTGAATGAAAGAACAGCAGTCAGAAGCATACATAAAATTAGCTGCCCACTGATAGGTATTTTCCTTTCAGAAGATCATCTTTCAAGTCAAGCACAATAATCTGCCTCTCTGCCATCAATCAATGAATAAATTGGTTTAGTTAGCCGACATAAAAAATGCTGCATGGCTGAAATACTGATAAAGCATCATTCGTTAAGTATCGTGTGAGCGCATACTCACGGAAACATCAATATTACCTACCTGTCGTCAGCCAACAGAATAACATCAAACATATCTTCACTTTTAGAATTCAAAGCCATTTTGGTACATGATGTAACAAAATTCAAAACTACTGAAAATGATAAATAAAACACTGAACTCCAGCTCAGGGACAGTATCTCACAAACATGTTTGCTTTACGACAGCAGCTAGTGCTGGAAATAACAAGCTTCCGGTCTTTCGTTTTCAAAATAAAAGTCGTTTGTCGCCCCTTGATGTGAGAAGGTATGACGCGGAAGGTGTAAGTACAGCTGTACCCCGGTGCAGTGTACCCTCGAGTTACGACCGGCCTGACATACGAACAACTTCGGTTACAACCAAAATTTTAGTTTTGACTTACGACCATGGGCGCGAGAGGCGTTTGTAAGCATCACTCTGAGCCCAAACAATCGTGTTTGTGGATGTAATTACGGTCAGTGCAGTGCTTTCTATAATTAATTTCGCTAATTGCTATCAAAATGGCCCCAAACAAGCTAGAAAAGAAGCTAAGGAAGGAAGGGAAGGTGAAGAACGCAATCACAATCGAAAAGAAGAAAGAAATTGTGCAGAAATATGATAATGCTGTTTGTGTGACTGGTTTCACTATACAGCATGTCAAAATCCACCATCTTGACAATCTTACAAAGAAAAGATTTGTTTAAGAAGCTAGTGTTGGTAAAGGTGTTACTCAAATTAGTAAGTCACAATCAACAGAGTGAGACGAGGTTGAAAGGCTATTATTAGTGTGGATAAACGAAAGACAGAAGGCAAGTCTATTTGTGAAAAAGCTAGGGCTATAAATGCAGATCTCATAGGTTCTGGTAAATTGTGCACATTATACAACCCTTTTTTTATTATGAAAAGGTTAGGTAATGGGTGTTTTGGGAGTTTCGGAACGCATTATGGGTATTTCCATTATTTCTTATGGGAAAAATAGTCTTGACTTACAACCTACTTGAGTTACGGAAGTGAAGGGTCCACTGTATTTTAGTTCTCGCACAAATGAGAACATATAAAGCTGTTTAGTGATAGTCACAAGAGGAGCTCGTCTACGCTACAGCACCCTTTTCCTGTTGGATACTTGCAACGTGCAGGGCAATTTGTACTAGCCAGTTACACTCCATACACGTTTCCCTCTGAGCTCCTTTTTTCAACGTGACTAGACAGTGCATTACTGTGTAAATAAGAATTATTCCAGAAATTTACAAATACTATTTAAGTCTTCTGTTCTGTGATTTGTTGAGAACATTTATTGCCATTTCTAACTGGTTGTCATCTCTTTCGTTCAAAGCATATTCATATACCATATGCCAGACAAAGTTGTCCGAGTTCTGCTTCATGCTACTTCAGGTGACAGCACAACCTGTTATCATAGCTATGTCGGCTAACCAAGCTGTGTGTTAAATTTACTGATATTCACATTCTGCCGGAGCCATGACGCTGACCTTCCAACCCACCCAATCTCAAGCTATCGCTCCTAAGCAGACCACCCGATGCAGGCATCAGTAGGAACTCGGAAGATTGCTACAGTAACTGTAGGGTGATATAATTTGTGGTAACTTACAAGACATCACCACTAGAGGGCCCACATCCTTGTAGACTGCAGTCAAGAGAGAATATTTCTGCAGGACCCTGTGGGAAACTATTTCAGAGGGTTTTTTGTGATGACTTACTACACTCAACTGTAGCAGCTTGGATCAAAAACTGGTTAACAGACAGGGAGCAGCGGGTAGTTATTAGAGGCACATGTCGCCGTGGGCCTGTGTTCATAGTGGGGTACCGCAGGGTTCAATTTTAGGACCATTATTGTTCCTAATTTACATTAATGATATAATACATACAGTAAACTGGTTCATTTTGCAGACGACACCAAGGTGGGTGGTGTAACAGATACTAACCTAGCAGCACAGAGGCTACAACGGAATCTTGATTTAATTAGCAACTGGGCTGATACCTGGACGATGAAATTTAACATAGATAAATATAAGGTAATCCATGCAGGCAGCAGAAAAATAAAGTACAGATACTTTATGTGTTCCACTGAATAAAGGTAGCTGATTATGAGATAGACCTTGGTGTTTATGTTGATGCTCCCATGTCCCACTCTTCAAGTGTGGGAAAGCAATTAAAAAGGCCAATAGAATGTTGGGTTACATCTCTAGGTGTGTGGAGTTTAAATCAAGGGAGGTGATGCTACGATTATATAATTCCTTGGTAAGACCCCACCTGGAATATTGTCTGCAGGTTTGGTCATTATACCTTAAAAAGGACATTGCTGCCTTGGAAAAGGTTCAACGTAGGGCTACGAGAATGTTTCCTGGTCTTAGAGGAATGTCTTATGAGGAGAGGTTAGCTGAGCTGAATCTGAATCACACAAAGGAGATTAAGGGAGGACACGATTCAGGTATATAAAATTCTAACAGGTCTCGATGCTGTTCAGCCAAACAGCTACTTTAATATTAGTTTAAATACTAGAACTCGTGGCCATAGGAGGAAATTAGCGGGAGAACATTTTAAACTGAATTTGAGAAAACACTTCTTTACACAGTGTATAGTTAGAGTATGGAATAATCTTCCTGCTAGTGTAGCACAAGCTAAAACCCTGGGTTCATTTAAATCAGAGCTAGATAAGATTTTAACAACTCTGAGCTATTAGTCAAGTTCTCCCCAAACAAGCTTGATGGGCCGAATGGCCTCCTCTCGTTTGTAAATTTCTTATGTTCTTATGTTCACTCCATTAGACTGACAGTAAAGTTTATGCACACTCTGATTTACTGCTTTACTATGGATTTTCTGCCAATTATGTCTAAGCACAAACTGTTTTCAGGGAAATATTAGGACACTGGATGTGTCTGACAAAAACAGAAGGATTTGGAAGAATACAAAGCAATTTATTTCACATTGTTCTAGCAAGGTCTTGAGAAAAGCTGGTGATCAGGGTCTTTCTGGACCAACACAAACTCTTCAGCGGGTGAGTCTCTGCCAGGCTGCCAGCAGCTATCTCTGCAGGTGTAGACCAGGACTGTCCCAAATTCTAGCAGCAGCTCTGAGAGACAAAGGAAACATCTGACATTCGGTTGCTGTCTGCCAGCATTGTGAAATATAAAGGAGGACTAAAGCATTTAAAACTACATCATTTACTGGTTTTATCCAACTCAGACAATATTCATGCACAGAGCTACAGTTTGCCACATTACACTGAATGTTTTTTAAGCAAGGCACTAAATAAAGATGCATATCCTATATGAATCGCTCATTAAAATACTTTATTTACTATTCAGGCTTCACATTGAGGTTAAATTTACTCAATCTCACATGAATTCTCTGCTGAGTTGCCACACTAACCTTCCTACCCACCTGATGTCGAGTTAATGCTCTCCAGTAAACTGACCAGCGCAGGCATAAGCTGGAACTCAAAGACTCGAGGATTGCCACAATAACTGCAGGGTGGGACAGTCTGTGTTAAACTGGAGCTGGGATCTGTGATGAACAATGGTGACCCGTTCCAAGAATATCTATAGAAAAGCAAAGCATTTTGATCAGTTAAATTTGTTACATTAAACTCAATGTAACAGAAATCACTATAAAGTGGTTAACAGTAATTTTCCAGTAGGAATCTAAACTAAAAATCCAAAATACCAATACTGGAAGACAGGAATTATTCTCAGACTCTAATAGAAATTGATGCAGCAGTACTAATTGTTGAGTAGCATATCCATTAGTTAAATCTAGTAGTAACCCCTGTGTATTGACAGAAAAATCATACCAGTGCATGCAAAAAATAGTTCTTTACTATCATGTGTGCAGAACTACTTCCATTAATGCCATTTTTTTCACCAAAACATTATGAACGCTCTCAAATGTGCAAATTTAGTGATGGTTTTATGCACGATAAATTTTACAAGTACCTTCTTACCGTAAGATTTGCTTCGGACAGAGGGAAATACATTTCATGAACTTGGAGAACACCTTGTCTCCATGTTTAGCGTCAGTCTTTTCATATCTCTCTAACTCGCCTTGACCTTCAAAACTGGACACAATATAAGTGAAATCAAAAGAACAGCCAGATTGGGCCCAACAGACACATTATCTTGTAGCTTCTAACATAAGCCAGCAGAGATTAAAAAATGGCTCTACACAGACAACTGGTACCAGATGTGGATATTTTAGATCCAGAAAGTAAAACTACAGACTAAGATTTTTTTTCCAACTAACAGTTCAGTATAAACAGTTACAGAGAACTCAACTGGTTGGTTGAAACAAAATCCTGGTCTGGATTTTTACTTTCTGGACCTGAACTATCCACCTCTGACTGGCTCATGATGGATACATGCTTCGTACCTTTCTAGTTGCATTACAGCTACGCCCTCTCTCATTTCATACTCGCGCAGCAGCCTATGCGCATCCTCCATGTCAGTTTGTTCATCAATATCCCCCTCTTCCAGCACACAGACATAGTATGGCCTGAAGATGGGCACAGACTCTGGGAACACAAGCTCAGGCCTAGGAGAAGCAGACTGATGTGCCTCTGTCAAAGAAAGTGCCTGCAGCCCATAGCTAACGTCCAGCTTAGGCAGGAAGCTGCTCTGAGTGTTCGTATGGTTGTGTGCAGGGCTTGCGCTTGTCCCTTCCTCCTCTTCGATGCCCCAGTCATCTGCACCCTCACACCAGTCACTGGTTGCCATGGGAGGCTCCTTCACCTTCATCCTCTGACTGTCACTCTTTGCCTTGATCTCTGACTCTAGGCACTGGGACCGTAGCACTTTCCAGCTATAAATGTTATGCAAAAAACAATCAAAAAGTAGCATAACTATCACAAAACACATTTCCTGGGGGCTAAATGCATGGCATCTTTTGCTATGGTGTTCATCAGCATGTAGGCTGTTCTAGTTTGGCAGCTAGCTTTGCACGCAAAACAGTATTGATTTATTTAAAGCTGCTTGCCGTGATATCAAAGCTGAAATGTTACGACAAGGACATAATATAAATCCACAAATCCAATTCCAATACTAAATGTTTTACGGCAACCATGTAAAGTAGGATGCAACATAAAATTGATACATTAATAAATGTCACACAGCTGACAGATATAACAAGCAGCACACTAACAAGAAAAATTAAACAAATACATAAACATTAATTGAAATAGTGGACACTGATCTGTTACAAGCACAAGAACTGGATGAATTCAAAGCAAAGGCAAATATTGCCTTGCAAAGTTGTTCACACCTTGCAGACATTTTCAAATTTTGTTGGATTACAAATGATACAAAAAATTTTATCCAGTTACAGAAAACAAACGAAACAAAATTAATTGGCTGCAGATATCATAAACAAGGGTTAAAACTGTATGCAAAAATTTACAGACCCAGTATCTTAGTATTGATAAGGCCACCTTTTGCCATAACATTGATTCTGTTGAGGTGGATGTGTAGTTTTGCTGCAGCTCATATAAGTAAATTACCAATGGACTTTAGTTCCTGGTCCCAGTTCATGGAGCACTTTGAGTGGAAACTGTAAACTGTACTAACTTGCTCCCGCATAATTTAAATTACGACAAGTATTATCAAAAACATGAATATTTCCAAAAATTCATCTTGTAATCCACATGTTGAATTTGCACACAACATTAACGATTGTCTCTACCTCTCGGTTTTTCCACTGCATTGCTGTTGAGGACAAGCAAACACGTTAATGGTGCGATGATACCGAGACGCCCCCAGGGGGCAGTACACCTGTACAACGTGCACAAGAGCAGAGCCGCAGATCGCGCAATAAGGGTATCGGAGTGAAAATGCAGGGAGAAGGTCCTGGAAGACAAATAATTGAAAATTCAGTACGGACATTATTAAATGGTGTCATTTAAATGAAGTAAGATGAAGATAAAGCTAATTTTCAAGAACTTGCAAGTGCCAGCACAGGATTCAACCCCCCCCCCCCTGGCTGAGCTAAGTTAGCTTATCCATTACGCCACGTGAGATGATCAGGCGGCTAACTAGCCGGCTGGCATTTCGTATTACACATATCATACTTTACTGTTGTACTCCTAGAAGTGACATTCATTCAGTTCAAATAAATGTTATCTATTAAGCTTACGCGTAATAATGGTAAGTGCCTAAAAATCAAAACATTAAAAATGCGTGTGCTGTTATAACTAGGGAAGGTGTTCGCTAGTTACATACTGTAAAAAAAACTGGGCCTATTCCGTAGATGTAACATTTTGTTTAATTAATGTTAAAAATATATAGTAAGGTTTATAATGTTTGTCTTACCGGTAGATCTCCGATTTTATTAGTGAAAAAAGTCGACGTGCAGCTTTTACCGATCGGCACGTCGCAGAGACCGATCAGCACTTGGGAGTCCGCCGCAGCCATGCTGATTACACAGTCTAAATGCTCATCGTCAAGTAATACAGCTCCACTGAACGGAATTTCTGTGTCGGTCAAACGTTTAGTGTCTTTAAACGTTAAGATGTTTAGCCAAAGCACTCACGATACGGGACAGTTAACGAGTTCTTGTAAATTTAAAGCTGCAAAGTTTTTTTTGGGACTTCACTGTAGTGATATTTGGGAAACCAAAACCGATTTGACTTAGATGTAAGACAGAGAGTGTAATGACTTAAAGCGTGTGCGTCCTGTGATGGGCTGGAATGCAGTCAGATATACACCCGCCTTGTGCGGTCGGAAGATGGATGGATAAACTGTAATACGAATAACCATATCAATAAAGCTATTCAAACACACAATTATTTCAAACTCTTTCAAGCTTCCAGTGTTGTATTTTGTTTCTAATACTTTGTTTCGTGTGAGACTTGAAAGTATTTTGAACCTCCAAGCGAATAAAAAGAGTAAATGTTTTTTTTCATTCAATTTTCAAAATGTTAAATGCATATTTAATAATACCGTAACATACCTGTCACCCGAAAAAACCTAAAGTGTTAGGATGCTTACAGTAATCAAACGTGAAATCTATTTTGCAAGATGTGAAAACGCTTTAAGAATAGACCATCACAAGGGTAGCTATGGCCATAAAGTTGCATGTTTGCCGTAAAACTTATTGAACTGTCGTGAAAAGTGTCCCGGATGTGGAAGATTTTGTTTCTGACAACGGGTATAGATTGCTGTATAGCTAAATTTTACTTAAAGTCGAATTGGTCATCTTTTGCTTTTTAAATTGCGTTATTTTGGTCATGGCGGTTGTGCCTCCCAACCGATCCTCGACCGGTTGGCCTCGTGGAGTCAATCAGTTTGGTAATAAATACATCAGCGCCCCAGCCAAGCCCCTGACGCTGGAGAGGACCATCAATCTGTACGCCTTGTTCGGTTTAAGTAGCTCCCGCGTCGAGTTTGTAGTCAATTATGTTTTCTGGTCCCTATTGTCATCTCCTTTGTTTAGCACGTCGGCTGTAGGCGTTTCTGTTAATAATTCGGTCGCTGAGTATAGCTGATGGTACTCATGCAGTTATACGATACTGGGTCTCTTTGTACGTCTGTGCGATACTGGGTCACTCTCGGATTGCCCAGGAAATGAGATCGGACTTGTGATTTACTGCATGGGTAGTCAGTGAATTGCATCATTAGGAGAAATGGATGAAGTAATGCAGTACTTATAGTGTAATAATATCACCACCATTGCAAATACTGATGGTCAGTGGTTTTTATTTGCAGCTATCCGCTAACAAACTATACGTTTGGCACCAAAGAACCGCTATATGAGAAAGACAGCTCTGTTGCTGCCCGGTTCCAACGGATGCGTGAGGAGTTCGAGAAGATCGGCATGAGGAGGACAGTGGAGGGTGTGCTCATTGTGCATGAACACAGACTCCCACACGTGCTGCTTCTTCAGCTTGGGACCACCTTCTTCAAGCTGTGAGTATGTATGCAACCCAGTCCGTTAGGAAACATGGGCCACAGCACCGAAAAAAACAAATTAAGCTTTATTTACCAGTCATTCAATTCTGTATAAATTACTCCACCAGACAATTCTGGATACATCTCCTGAGATGTATACCATGTAACATTATGTTGCCCAAATCCTGTTTAAAGAATACACTTCAGCTTTAAGTTGTAACTCCATTTCATGACCCACAGCCCTGGTGGTGAGTTGAACCCAGGAGAGGATGAAGTGGAAGGACTCAAGCGATTAATGACAGAGGTGCTAATGCAGTGAACCGTACTAGTGAAGGGGTCACAGGGTGCAGTGAGTCCCATTCGAATCTGCATCTTGATGCAGTGCCAACAATCTGATGCTTTAAAGATATATATCACACACACATATATGAAGCAACTACTGATGCACTACGATATGATTCACTCCTTTTGTGATGCAGTGTGATTTGACGAAATACGATGCATTGCAAAAGAACATGATGCATTTCAACTCGGTATGGTACAGATACAGAAACAGTTTAAGGAAGGGAATCAATTTAAATATAAAATTATTGGTCAAAAGTAATTGGTCACATTTCTAAATACTACAGGCATAGGACATCTATTGAAACGTTATTGAGAACACCAGCCAGAACCCGCTTAATGAGCCTTCTTGCCTTCGGTGTCGCTTCCATCTCAGATTCTGGGACGTCAAGATGGGGTGAAACAGGACTGGGTGATTGATGACTGCATCGGAAACTGGTGGAGACCTAACTTTGAGCCTCCACAGGTGGGAAGATGGGAACCAGCCCTGCAATGGGGGCAGGGTCGGGGTATGCAGAGTCATGCATAGGATGCTTACTACAGTCAAGGACCAGAAAAATTCAGTTACAGGAATGCATTAAAGTATACTTTATTAAATGTAAGCTGAAAGAATTAAAACGAAGTGGGAGTGAATAACTGAAACTGTCAGATAGGACTAACTGCAAATATAAAAAGGCTGCGTCTGAGATGTGCATGGCTGCTGGTATGGAGTCAGACCAAGCACCCAATTTAACTTACAATTCGCTGCAGAATCAGTGACCCATTTACTGTTTTTTGAATCCAAATCCTCATAATTCATAATTGCCTCTATGAAGTGAATATTTAATGGAATATTTAATGTGCTCTTGTGAAAGAACTTTCTAGATGTAATTTCTGTCTGCAGTATCCTTATATTCCCGCTCACATTACCAAACCCAAGGAACACAAGAAGCTCTTTTTGGTTCAGCTTCAAGAGAAAGGTGAGGACCTGCAGGTGATGGATAATTGGTATTAACAAGAGCAGGTTACTACAAACTAGTACTCTTATGAATGTCTCATACCTTAAGCCCTACTGTCAGTAAATTAGTATGCATTTGTAATTGGCCGTGCAGCGGACAGAGTGTGTATTTAGTAGCTTTGTCCATTAAAAAAAACATTAGTACTGATTTTATTTCTGCTAGCTGTTGTCGCTGTTCAGTTAGAAAAGTGGCTTCTGTAATGTACAAGTATGATGTGTGATTCAAGTCTTCATTGTTTTTTTTGTTTTTTTTGTCTTCACCATTCAGGCAGCACTATAGGTCTGCCTGCAGCTATCATACACTTTGGAAGTGCAGTGTTCATGTCGGGTGATTGATCTGCTGGTGTTTGCCAGCTTTATTTGCAGTGCCCAAAAACTATAAGTTGGTGGCTGCCCCCCTGTTTGAATTGTATGATAATGCCCCTGGTTATGGACCAATCATATCCAGCCTCCCACAGCTCCTGAGCAGGTGAGGGAGATTGTTTCTCCATGCCACTGTTTGTCTACGATGTTTGCTTTTGTGTCTTGCACGTTAAGCCAGGTTTTCTTACTGTGGGGTCAAAAAGATTTTTGGAAGTTTTAAAGATATGAGAGGTGCAGTGTGTGGCTCAGTAGGTTAGAAACCCTGTGCCATATCCCTGGTTCAAATCCAGTGGTTTGCAAAGTGATTTCACTATTTCTAAATAAGTAAATGTAAATACAGACAAATTACATGTCTGTCAAGAGGCACTTCGATGCGAGGATAATTCCCAACTTTGAAAATCAACACTTCAGCAGTATTAAATGCATTGTTTTCCATTGTCATCCATTCCATTGTTTTAAAGTAGGTCCCCTGTAGGCCTCACAAAGGAAAGTTTGACTCCACTTGGAGCTACCCCAGCTCTTTCTCAGTGAGGGAGCAGAAGTGATATGCATTACATTTACTTAGCAGATGCCATTAACCAGAGTAACATACGATTGAGAAAGCAGGGGTAGGTGGTCCCTGGAGCCGTTGAGGTCAAGGCGCATGAACCGACGGCCTTCCGATCACAGGCCCAGAGTTCTAGCCCACAGAGCAACACAAGGCATCCATTACTACTCAGAATGGCCCTCACAATGTTGCGTGCTATTCATTTTTAAGGTTCCTTTTGCACAGAGGACATACAGCGTGTGTGTTGTCATATTTTTTTTCCCTCACATTTACAGATTCAACTTTATTTACAACTGAGGCAAGAGGCCTTGGGGCCGGCATTCAGTGGTCTGCATGGCATCACAGCAGGGCAGCAGATCGTCATGGGTCACTTCAATGAGCACAGACACGCATCTCAGTCTAAGAAAATCCTTTAGATACGACTTTTAAAATTATACAGATGTGGTTGTTTGTTTTTCTGTGATTCTTACATGCACAGGTTTTCCAAGTCACTGAGGAACCAGTTTTTGAGTTTCACCAGTAACATAGGTTTTTTTAAAACCTGTGGTTTATTATTATTATTTTTTTTTTACAATAAATTGAAGGCAAAACTATGTGTTCGTTTTTGCTAAATACATTTTAAATGACTAGCTGGGCTTGGAATCGTTCTATGTGTTTGTAAAAAAAAAAAAAAAATTTTAAAGTGGCAAATGGCAGTAATTATAATGGTCATGGTGTATAGACAGCCATGTCTATACATTATCAATTATCAATTGATGTCTATACATCTATATATTATCAATTTTGGTGTATTATTAATGCATTAGAAGGAACAATCTGTTTGAGCTTCATACAAACTGCACATTTGACAGTTTGGAAAGTTCTTTTAGGGTGTGAAAAACAAACAATGTGATGTAGTCTATCCAAATCTCTTTTGGCCTTGTTGCATTGGAGAAACAAGGGGGCAGCCATTACCAGGCACTGCCTTACAGATGAGCAGCAGAATATTGAAGTCTTTCCTCAGCTATCCAAATGGGGTCAAAATCTGACAAACTGGATAGAACATTTCAGGCTGAAACAATGAAGTGTTTTTATAATTTAACCATATAAATGGATGAATAGCTTTCAGTAAAACACAGAATGAACCCTCAGTTCATCCTTGACTTAAACTGGTAATGTAAATGATCTGCTTGTGATCATAATTTGGCCAGCATTGTTGTACATGCAGTAGGCAATAACATAAACCTCTGAGATTCTAAAAATTGCATTGTTGTGTCTCCAGTTAAATTTATAAAGTACAAAAAGGAAAGTAAAGTAAGAATTCTAAATAGTCTTTTTATTCAGCTGCTGTCCCTGATTACTAGTTTTCTTATGTTTTGGAAAGAACATAATATTGGATTCACAGTTTATAACCGATATTTCTTGACAACATCTGAGCAGGGGGCAGCTGTCCAGCTCTTCTATTAAACAGGTCAGTGACAAAATTAAAAGTATAATATTAAACCCCATCCCCTTCATTCATCCATCTTCTGACAATTTATCCTGCTTAGATTGATGGGGAGGCACAGGGTGTAACACAAGGGTATCCCCTGGATCGAATGCCAGTCCATTGCAGGCTGCAAAAATTGACTATAGTAAAATGATTAATTACAACCTTCATCGAACAAGGAAAGATTAGGTACAGCACACTAGAAACTTCATTTTATTATATGGATTGGGTCCAGCGCGGGAGGATCAGGAATCCAATACACCGAATGCTTCAGGTGAAACCCCCACAGAACAGCAATCTATGATGCTAAAAAAATGTCTTGGTGTTCCTCCAAATGAAGTCACCCCGAGTGAAACTGTCTGCCATGGGAAAAATAATACATCTTAACCCAGGGGTGGCCAATCTTATCCCCAAAGGGCCGGTGTGTATGCAGGTTTTTCAGATAACCTGTAGGTCAGCTGTTCAAACCCAGGTGTGAGGACTCTTCAGCCAATCAGTCCTCTAATTAGGGAGTTGCAGTGAAAACCCGCATACACACTGGCCCTTTGCGGATAAGATTGGCCACCCCTGTCCTATGCTGACCCACGATCAGATTTCCCAGCCACAATCCTAGTATTAACCTATATAAACGGGTCTTCTGTCTGTCTGCAACTGTTTAGCACAAAACCATTAATCACTCAACCAATCCAAGTAGTCAAACCACAGACACTTATTTTAAAATTCACTGGCACATCCAGTCAGATTTACGCAATAGGCATTGATTGGCAAAAATTGCCGATTGCACTGTACGCTTGATCATAGCCTTAATTAAAACTTATACTTGATATAGGGTCGCGACGGAGCTGGCATGGTAAAAACTGGGTCACGGTGCAAAAAAGGTTCAGAACCATTGGTTTAGATACTCCTCTCTGATTGGCCACTGTGTATACAAACGCTTTTCGAATACACTTTTTTATTACAGAGCCCTATTATTCAAATCACGGTCCTTGAGGTCCAAGCACTGCTGATTTTCCAGCCTTCCTTTACCTGTGAGCCAGGTGTGAAGCCTCTGACCAATCAGAATCAGTAATTATTAAACTATCTACCTGGGAGAACTGAAAACAAGGCCTGGATTTGGAATCGCGGTCCAGATTTGAAGAGCCCTGGTCTAGAGTAACATATTACGGGGGCCTTCATTGATAATTTAATTTTTTCATTTTATTTTAGGATAAACCATAAATTCTGCAATCTATCAATGACCCCGACGTGATTTGAACACGCAACCTTCTGATCTGGAGTCAGACGCGCTACCGTTGCGCTACGAGGTCCCGTTTCCGCTGACGTTTGGTAGGTGTGTCACAACTGACTTAATTAATGGGCTAAATCACAAACACAACGAATAGTGCCCTCAACATTTCTGCATAGCGCCCTACATGAAGAAATAACGGAGATTTAGACTGAAATACTTTGTCCCCCGTGTTCCTGCCCATCTTTAACATTGCCATTCTTGACATTGGTAAATGTTTATAATTTTGCATAAAAAATAAAAAGCCACAGCTTTATAAATCAACAGAGGTCCATCTGCGTTAGGCCTAAGGTATTTTATGTGTGTCCGCTACATATTCTAACCCACAAAGTTCCATCCTTTATCCATAACTGTTTATTCAGTACAGTTTCGCAGTGAGCCTATTTCAGGAAGAACAGTGAATTATCACGAATAACAGTGAAATATGGTTAGAATCAAATCTGTCCCTTCAGAGGATACACCGTACAGTAATGTCCCAATTAGGATTAAGATGGTGCAATAGTATACATTCGGGGAATTCATGGGTACTGATATCTACATTTACTTATTTACTTAACTGATATTTTAATTTAGGTGATTTTACTTCTATCTCGATTTATCTTTACAGTTATGCTTTTTGTTCCGAAGATATATTTTATACATTGTTTTAGTGTCAGCATCCATGAATCTCAAATGTCACAGCACACTCTGACCATTAGACGAGCGATAGTCCACACCCAGTCCACTGAGATCATTTCTTTGGGTTGCATTTCGTCCTGTGGACCAAACTCCCTATCGGCTCTATTTTCACAAAAATCTCCATGCTATTACAAAACGTTATTTTATAGCGCCGTTAAGTACCTGCAACATTATAGATCACGAAGGTCTTGGGAATAATTCTTTATTTTCTGCGTTTAACTTTACAATCTGGACGCTCCTCTGCTGCGCTTCTGACGTCGCTGAGCTTGAAGCTCGGCTCTCCCTCCTTCCCGTTATTGTCAGCGAGCCGAGCGATGCGACTGCTCGCCGCTGTCATCGCCGCCCAGTAGACCCCCTAGTCCGTGTGCACCCACCAGAACACCACCCAAGGCACAAACTGAAAGACAGATAGACACGAAGACAGGTCCTGCTTGTCTCGTCGACGCGGGTTTTAATGTTTTAGCTAGTCTAGAAGTGTCGTCCAGAGTGTGGAGGGGGGGAAGGCAGCAAACCTGGGAAGCGACCGACAGGGAGAAAGGATACTGAAGGGTGTATTAGGTTTTTGCGAAACGGAAGCCGTAAAATCGTCTAACCATGGGATGTACACTGAGCGCTGAAGAAAGGGAGGCTTTGGATAGGAGCAAAGCGATCGAGAAGAACCTGAAGGAGGATGGTATCACGGCTGCAAAAGACGTGAAATTACTCCTGCTTGGTAAGACTGTTTTCCCGATAGAGAGGACTTCCATTTCGCCTCGGTTTCTCTCCCATGGTGGTGGATGAACAGTACAGATTGGCCTCTCCACTCTGGACTCCTGCATACCCGTATAATGATGCTTACTTTTCCTTAGTACGGCATCAGGGACATTCTTTATACTTAATGTGTTTTTATTTCAACAGGCGCAGGGGAGTCTGGAAAAAGCACCATAGTAAAGCAGATGAAGTAAGTGATAAGGCTGAAGCGTTTTTGTGCTTATGGGATGAGGATACATTCTATCATTTTCAGTCTCCAGTCCTAGTTTGCTTGGTGAACGCTCAGGTCAGCCATATTCTACGGGAAAGATTCCCCCGCCGGTGATGCGTCCACGTTGCCGCGGGTTGTCAAGCCGGCCGAAAAGCAGAATGTTGGCAAATATTTCAGGTAGTAGGGATAATTATTTCAGATATCCCCGACTGTGATGAATGCAAGGTAAAAGATGCAGTTCTGTATTTCTGGAGAGCTGGTGTGTGCATGCGGGATTGCAGTGAGAGCCATTATAATTCACCACTCAATTAATCCCAATTTCACGCTTTATCCCTTTCATCTGCTACACTTCCCCCTTAATGTTTGATCCCGCGATCTTCATAGAGTTTCATTTTTAAAAAGATTCGCTTGTAATATGCATTTAACGCAAAAAGTAATTAGAATTTTATCCCATACAAAAACGTAGCAGATGCCATTATTTTATGTCAGCAGTTCAGTTGGAAGCCTCCTACGGCCAAGTAGTGATTAAATGTTGTCGATATGTATATAAACGTAGACTACCTTGCCCAAGATTTGACATAGGCATTGGTCAAATGTCTTTTTATGATTCGGCCATTTTTATTTTTATGATGCAAGTTCAGTGCACCCTCATACACATCTCCTACGCCTTGAATCTGCACTTAGCTTGCCGCGCCCAGATTGTCGCCAATCACCCTGATTTGATGCAGGATAAAATACGAGTTAGATTTTGCATAAGACGGATTACCTTTACCAGAAACCCACTTTTCAAAAGAGCTGCAGAAATTCTTACCAATCTGCTTTTGTTTCTTGGAAACTGACGATATTAACACGACAGTGAAGGGTCAAAGGTCTGAATTTTTATATAAATTTCTATTGTGACATTGGTGACTTTGGTCTTAATGCTTAACAACTGCCCTGCTTCTTGGTGCCAACTGTTGTCTTTTGTGATCCAATAATCTAAATTGTGAGGTTCAGTCAAGCGAGTAATTTGACTGTCCCGTTGATATCAGCGGTCGTTTCAGGAGGTTGCTGTGGTGGACAGCGCTTGTCAGCTGAATCGTATCGTTTCGGAAATATTCGCGTCTCTCCGTTTTCCGGTTAAACGTTGTATTTTCAGAACTCTGAAGAACGCAAGCCTAAATCTTATGTCGAAATTCATTAACTTGGAGGCAGGAGATACTGTTCTGGAAAATGACATCCACTCGTATTCTGAAAGTTTACGGTTACAGTTAAATAAAGGCCTGTTGTAACCTATATCATTTAACCTGGACTGCTTAATACAATCTGTATAAATGTGCAAAAGGTACTTTTTTTCACATGTGCATCGAAGTTTGCTATAAAGTAATTTCTGAATTTGCCATACTCTTCCTTCAGCTGTTAGGATCTATAAATGGATTTTAACATAAAATTAAAATGTTTTCCAGCAGCAATAAAAACTCAGCACTAAATATACTGTAAAATATGGGCATCAGACATGGCGGCTTTAAACTGTAAACAACCCTTCAGTCATTTCTCTAAATGGAATTATTTTTGTAGGCTGATACACAATCATCATATTTAAGGCTGCTAGGATGTCAAGCAGGTAGTAAGAATGTTAATTCCACCTATTATGGTGGTAATAAATAGAGGCTTATGATTTAATCTCCCAGAATTGGGACCACAATGAGAGATTTTCAGCACACGCTATTTATTTAGAAGACACTCTTTCCTAAGAAACTTTGGGCCTGGAAAATATTGGGTTAAGGGCTTTGTTCAAGGGCCCATTAGTGATATTATTATTCATATGAACCCACAACCTTCTGGACACAGGCGAAGATCCTAAAACTACTGAGCTACACATCACACCTAAGCAGAATTGCATAACTTACTACTTGCCTATATAAAATAGTAAAACAGCAAAAATAAATAAAAAAAATGCAGCTGAGGTTAATTGTGTAGTCAGTTTTAGGACTCTCAGTTCCCTCTAATTATGTGGTGGAGAGGCTGTTCCTCTGCTGTCCAATATCCATCTTTTCAGGATTTAGGGGTCACAGTATGCACATGCATGTGAAGCGGGTACATACGGGGACTTGCTAAAGCTGACTCCATTGCTAGGTTCGGTATACTGAATCTCAGAATAGTATTGTAGGATTGAGTTTGTCTTTACTTGGACTCCTTGCCAGAAGGACATGTGGTCCATTCTTTCATGAAGCATACAGCTGCCAGAATCACACACATAAAGAAAGGAATCAGGGAGAAATGAGGGGGCAGAATCTGTGCTGAGATTCCTCAGTGATGTTAACTGCTAATATGTGGATAACTCATCTCTATGACAACTGCGAGTAAGTTTCGCATTGAGGGGACTGTGTCTGGCTCCTCCCTGTCAATACTCTAACATGTTTTCGATGTAAGCGGTCATGCACATGGGGAAAAGGCAAAAAGATCAATCAATATACCTGAAGGGGATGACAGTTTTGGTTGAATATCAATTACTGTTACTGGAACAGATTCTTTAAAATCCACACAAGCCTAGATTTTACCTATGGTTATGGACGCACTGGTTAACATGTGTATACACATGTAAACACTGTCTATGAACATTTCATTCTTGGTTATACACAAACATGCTCTTTCTCTTTATAATGCCCCTCTGTGTATAAGCGTATGTAAGCCATCTGCGGTCACTGCATGACTCTGAGTCTCAGTATAGCTGCATTTGCACATACATTACAAAAGACATCGAAGAGTTAGTGTACTTATACATATGATTCTGCAGTTATTGACTCGTTACGAAATCACAGCCTTATCCTTCCCTGCAGGCCATCTTTGTGTGTGCTGCAGTGCTTCATCAGTGCAGATGCAAAAGAACCACCAAGATCAGCATCAGTTGGCTAGTATACCTACATGTTACTCTCCCCTATTGTCCCCATTGCAAGGTTAATGGTAATGAACTCTTGTGTAAGTGGCAAAGTAAAGTAAATCCTGTAACCATCAAGTAAAACATTTTAGTAGTTATTTTAGTAAAAATCCACTTCATAATATCAATTTCGTCAGTGTTTCACTAAAACTGTCAGGCCTTAGGGTGTCAGTCAATCAGATCTAAAAAAAAATTGTACAGGAAAAACAGGAGTTGCTGAGATGTGCCACTCTTTGACTGGCCTCCTTCTACCTGGCTTAATATTTCTTTGAAAGCCAGGGGTGCCAGGTTTGGCCTGAGCTGTGTATTGGAGGTCCCACAGCATGGCCTTAAGAGCTTTGCCTGAGAACATTAACACAGTATTGTTTTTAATCAAACCACAGGCCAATGCAGCACAAAGCTTAAGCATGTTGGCCTGTAGTCAAAAACAGCACAATTTGATTTAGGTCACATTGTGCAGTGAAGAGTTTACTTGATTTTGACTAGTTCACTGACTCAGCTGCTGATAGATTAAAAAAACAAAATAGCTTGATATGGTTATTTGAGTTTTTTTTGTCTGATATGGGTTTGGCAGTATAAAACAGGAGATTCTGAAGGTCCATTGGGACTTCATGTGCTCTGGTTTGGTGATGACTTGTGCCGTGACCCCTGAGTCATGCTGCTTTTAAATGGATCCATTTACCCAACTGGGTTTCTCGCCCCTTGATCTAGTGCAGATGAAAGGGTTACAGTAAACACTCAAAACAAGTCCTGCCTGCCCAACCAGGGTCAAAGGGCAGAGCAGGCACACAGGGGTCAATTATTATAAAAATCCCCTCAACAATAAGGATCAGTGGTGTTTAGGATAATTAAAAAGGCTGTCAACGACATTAATCACATATTAAAAAAGTGTTGCTATGCCATGCAAAAAAGGTTTTAGTCTGTATTTTCAGTATGTTTTATCCTCTGAGCTATCTTTCAATTTTTAAAAACCAAATAGCAATGATTCCCAGTCTTTCCACGCCATCAGCTTCTCCATGAGATGATAACTAAGTGTTCTGATTTTAGCTGTGAATTCTGGGATTCTGTTCAATGGCACGCCTGAAGCTATTGCATTGCTTACAACCGGGAAGGAATGCTATAGATCCTTATTAAAAATCTTTGCTCATTTTATTTTCCCATTGGAGTATCAAAATTAATGCATGTAGTTATAATAACGCATTATGACTTAATGCATTTACATCTGACAGCCCTTGTAATTAATGACAGAAAAACCTTTATATAGCCATGTGTCTGAGATAAATGACATCCAAATCACGTACTACAGCAAAACTTTAATTCCTATACTACATCCCTGGCATACTAACACTGTGCAGACTGACACAATGACGTAACAGTCATCCATCCATCCATCCATCTTCCCAGTGCATATTCTGGTCAGGCACAACAGTACTGGCAGTTTTAGAAACTCCAATTAGTCTAACGGCATGCATTCAGAGGAAATAGGACCAACCAGAGGAATCTTGTGGTATGGGATACATATACACCCCCATCCCTTAATTAAACTGCTGGTCGTTCATTTTAGTTCAGCATTTAACATGTTTAAACATGTGAAGGAGTATGTATGCATTTAGTAGAGGGATCACAAGCAAATATCTACAGCAATCAAACAGAATCACTAGAATAAAACACAGGCAGGTACTTAAATACACAGGAGACTAGATTAGAAACAGGTGTGGGCTATAACCAATTAACCAAACACTGGGAAAGGTGAAGGTAGTGACAATGAACCAATACACTTGGGTTTAGGAGCTACACAGGAAATGCAGAAATAAGCACAACACTAGAATGAGCAGGGATAACTAAGAACAAAGCTGCAAAACAAAGACCTATCCTAAAATACAAGGACGTTACAATAAGGGGGGAAAAAAACTCAAAATGTACAACATTTTTTATGATGGTAGGGAAACATGGTTCTCAGCTGCATGCTTAGCCCATTTAGCCACATGGTGGCCCAGAGAGCAGGGGAACACACTAGGAACAGAACAAAAAAAGCTAAACCTAATGAAAAACTGGGAATAGGACAGGATGGCTAGCGACCCCTGCTGGCCAAACAGGGAAACAACAGACAGAACAAGACAAGATGGGGACTGGCCCTGAAAATACATTAATAACAAACATTATACAATTATATGATTATAGTGTTTGTTATTATTGTATAATGTTTGTTATTAATGTATATTAAAGCTGCTAAGGTATGTTAGGATGTCAAAGTATATTTACATGTTGCTTATGAAATTTCTCCAAATGCATTATGAATGCGTTATGAAGGTGCATTTAATGTAAAGCATTACCAAATATTTAAGGAGAGAAATTGTAACTTACCTCATTGTTTTTTTCTACGCAAAAAATGTTAATATTACTACGCTGCAGTAGAATTTCTGTACAGATTTTGTGCTTGTGCTGATGATACTCTTCACTCAGTTTTATTTGCTTGGTGTCTGCAATAATCTGTCAGTTGTTTTAGGATATAAATTCATCCATCTATTTTATTCAGTATGGGATCACAGCTTAGTACACAATGAATGGAATATCAGTCCACTGTAGGTCACGCATACAGACACATTCACTGGGCAATATCCATCTATCTTCCAATCACTTATATAGTGAAGGATTTCAGAAACCTGTCCAAACAGCACTGGACACAAGGCATTCCAGCTGAGGGCATACACACATGCCCTCACTTACGGACTGTGAGTAAATTTGAATTGCCAGGTTGTATGCTTTTGGACTATAAGAGGAAATCCATACAATAAAGGGAGAACATATGAACTCCACAGACACAGCAAGGATGGGATTCAAATTCCTGCCGTGCCACTCACCAAACGGCCCTTTTGGATACCTGGCTATTGACCCCTGTTTTATAGAGTGTTTCGACTCAGTCATAGTGTACACTGCCCTGCACATCCCACCTGTCCACTTCATCACCACAAGCTTCATGTGAGCCAGCAAACTTCTACAAGGTTGGCGATTTGATTACCCATTCACGCCTGCAGTTTCAGCCTGCAATCCAGATAATCTTCCCTTTTTAGGTGTTTATGTGTTATTCACATACAACCACAGACAATACTGTCCTTCACATATTTGTAATCTGTATTTATCCTTACCTGCAAAAGGTTACAAACAGTACAATGTCACACCACAAATATCTCTTGGAATACATATTGTAATCATAATAAGAAGCCTGTCATTCAGGCTGTGCAACTACAAGAACAGTTGAAGATTTGTGGTTGTTGATGGTCTCACTGGTACTTACAGTTTGTCCTTTCTTGCAGCTGTGGTTTATATGGCAGCAACAGTGAATATGTCATGTGACTCCTAGTATTTATGGTTATTTCACATGTGCGGTGTATATTTGCATTAACGTGTGTGCGTGTATCTGGGCAGGATTATTCACGAAGATGGCTTCTCCGGTGACGATGTGAAGCAGTACAAGCCTGTTGTCTACAGCAACACCATTCAGTCACTAGCAGCCATCGTCCGTGCCATGGACACACTGGGCCTGGAGTATGGAGACAAGGAGAGAAGGGTGGGTTTATGCATAATGAGATATATTACATGGGCCGAATATAACTGTATTAGCCATAAATTAAAGGATGTTCTATATGCAGATGTGTTGCCACTCAAACAGGGTAAAGCAGGTGTACATACAGGGTATATACAGCTGTTTCTCTCATTTCTCAATTTATTGGTGTGCATCTTTGAACATATATACAGTGGTTCCTCGGTTCTCAAACTTAATCCGTTCCGGACTCCGGATCGAATCCTAAAAAGTTCGAGTTCTGATCGAATTTTTCCCATAAAAAATAATGGAAAACCAATTAATTGGTTCCCGGCCCCCCATTACACCTAAATATGTTTTTGTTTTTTGTTTTTTTTTAGCATTTAAACAGGAAATGAACAGGATAAAACAAGAAGAGCATTTTTTTCTTAATGGCTTCCAAAACGATAAAGATCTTATCCCAACATTACCCCTGTCCTGCCCCGATTGTCCACTCCTTCCGTGTGCCACGCCCTTTCGTTAACCTCGTGTGGGATCCCCATGTGATCAGCTGTTTCTGGTTGTTGTCATTAGTCCTCTGTATTAATTAAGTCCGTGTTTCAGTTTGTTTCCCCAGTCCGGTCATTGGGTGCGTTCGACTTGCTTACAGCGCTGGCTTAAAGCAAAGCATTCTGATCCTGACGCAATGCATTACGGTTAGATGCATTGCGACCTCTCACCCGGCTGCATAAACTGGAACTGCTTCCGTGACGACACACCTTTGCCCTTATTGGCTGAAGAGTTTAGTTACACGCATGACGTTTGTATCCCAGGCAGTTCCGATCTGCTATTTCTCCCGAATATCACGTAAAGCAGTGAGAAGTGGTTTTCAGTTAATTTACCTGGTAAAATAAAGTTTAAATAAATGACATAAATGCTCTAATAGTACATGTAAGTTAGTGGTTTATTTATTGTTAGTTACTGTAATGTTGCCTTCTTTATTTGGCTAATCGTCCAGTCTGTGAAGAAGGCATTCAAGTAAGAATTGCATTGTAGTATGACTAATTTCCTGGTGCGTACAATTTATAATAGGTCAGCGTTCACGGTTCGACTTCTGATACTCAGATCGAGTTCTAGGTCAAACTGGTTTGTTCGACTTTCAAGAAATTTGAGTTCTAGTGAGTTCGAGAACCGAGGTACCACTGTATATATTTTTGCAAGCTGCAGCCTGGTTCTTCTCTGTTTCTCATTAATGAAGGGCTTCTTCCTTGCTTTATGGGTCTTCAGTTCTGCTTCTATGAGCCTGATATGAACTGTCCTGCACTTAATGTTTCCCATTCCTTTTGAAGGTCACTTGATGTCAACCTAGGATTCATGAGAAACTGTCGGATAAGTAAACAGTCATCTCTGGCATTAGAAAGTCACTTTTGCCCTTTACCTGGCTGTATTCTGGTCATTCCCAGTGTCTCCTGTTTCACCTTATTCCTGTGTATTTCTGTCTTGGAAATTTTGAACCTGGAAGCAACCTGCTGCTCAGCATAGTCTTCTGCCAACAGAACCAGGATTAAACCAGGATTTAAAATGCAGACTTGTTTAAAAATGTAGATTGGTCTCTTAATTTTTCCCACGGCTGCATACTGTATATATACACACATATACATTCACACACAGGCTTGCCTAACAGACAACAGTCAACACAAGAACAATTTGGTGTACAACAAAATGTGCAAAAACTGAGCGTTATCATTGAAAACACAGAACAGGCTTCACATGTAAGCAGTAAATCTGTTACTGCACGTGTGTGTGTAAGAGCATACCTGTGTTTGTCTCGACACACATTTGTGAGTGCACAGCTTACTAGATTTTATTTGTATGCATACCAGCTGGTCATATGAAGTCGCCATGGTAACCTGGTGTATATATCTGAGCCTTGGATTATCAGAGGTCACTGATGTGTTGGAAGGATTATACTGGGTTGTCAAGGTGATGTTGTTTTGACCCTCACACGGACTGCAAATAGATACACAGACACATGCAAATGCATGGACTGACACAGTAACACGCACATTGACATGGGAACACACAGGTCACCACAGCAGCCTACTAAAGTGAAGTCCATTTTATAAGGATGCAGGCGAACATATTGACATCAGAGAGTTTATGAAGGGGTCTCTCACACATAATAATCCATGCACATAAGTATTAATGCAGTGTTCACACATTCGGGCAATGTGGGGTGTAACATCACTGTCATGTTGACAGCATTTCGGGTCTGTATTTGTTCTGGAAGATTATAGTGATGTTTATTGAATGTTTTGCCTTAGTTTGCCTTCCTTTCGCATAACAGAATCCACTGTGGCTATAATGGAACATTAGTCCCTGCTCCAAGCAAAGAACAACAGAACAAATAAGGAATAAAATCAATGGAGGGATAAAAACAAAGACTAAACTTCAAACTTCAACTTCAAAACAAGGGATACTTAAAGGAAGATGATATGAGTGTTGGGTAAAGGGAAGGGCCGCACCCGGATTCTGCATCAGTTATCAGGGTCTGGGTGCATGCTCTGAGCCGAAAGACGAACCAGAACCATGTTTTGCATCTGTGCAGAACAGCTATTTTCAGAGACACACTTTTCTCTGACAACTTCTTGACAATTATGTTCTTTGTAGGACAGTAGTTAATGGTGTAGATATTTCTGTCACCAGTGACAAGAACGCTTCAACTAGAATCAAATTTTTTTTCCCCTAGAAAAAAATCTTGTCCTTTGGAGATATTTTTTTTTCTATTATAAGCTAACAGTGTCAGGAATTCACCTATTTCTTTTTTTCAGTGGAGGCATCCCAGTGTAATGAAGTCAGGGGCCCAAACGAGTGTATGAGCTGGAAGGGTAGTGATCCTTGTGTGAGGGCGATAGACTTCTGATTAATGTTTTTTTCCACAGCTCTAAGGGGTAACTCTAGATCAGTGTTTCCCAGTCTGTTAGGGAGCAATAATGTGGACCGTCTGGCAGGGAGCTCCGAGGGAGCAAAAACGTCGACCAACTGTGGGTCCCTGAGCACCGGATTGGGAAACATTGATCTAGGGTACTCCGTAAAGTTATACTGACATAGAAAAATTATATGTTTGGTTCAGGGTTGATTTCTGGTTTTGCTTTCCTTTAAATTATGGGTTTGTCTCATGTCTCTGTTCTTTTGTGTTTTATTTGAGGAATTGCGCACTAAACTGAGAGAGCCATTGTTAAGGTAACTGCACATTGAACTGAGCTACAGACATAGTTGTAGTTAGTTGCCTTATATAAAGCATATGCTGTTGGTGTTTTGGTGGAGAGCCAAAGTTAGGGGTCACCCCACTCTGCACATTTCTGACTAACGTTATAGCAAGTGTATTTAAGAAGTGTATTTAAGGTTAGCTGTCATAGATATATGCTGTGCTTTGTTAAGTTAGAGAGCAAAGTGTGCAATTTTAGGTGGTACCGGGGGTCGCCTGCCCGTCTCGTCCTTATTGGTGCTAAATAAATCGCAGCCTATATGGTGTTACAGACCGTTTACAAGGTGACGTGAATGTTTGTGCAGGTTCCCTTTTGGTCCCCTTTTCCTGTAGGCACCACCATCATCTCTAGCCCCAGGCCTTTGCTTGGTTCCTTCTGTAGGCCTGAGATACCATGATTATGGCTGTTCTGTCAGTGTTTTACTTACATGGTTATTCGAACACCAACATGCTTTTGCATGCACTATTTTATGTAGAGTGGCTCCTTAAATAAAAGTGGCATCATGATTAAGGTTTGAAATGAAGGTTTTTTTGGACACGGTGTTGAAAAGCTTCCCTGTCCTGACGAATGGAAGACACCTGCAGTGATGCGGTGATCAGCTGAGAGCTTGTAACAGGTGTGCCTGCATAACAGTCCTGCTGTCATCTGCGTATTCGCTGTTATATGTCCTGCACCTTCTCTGTTGGCTCTATTGGACTTAGACCGCATTTGTCATTGCTTGGTCTATAAGTTGGATTTACCGTCTCATACCATTCAAGACACCTTTTAGCAAGAAAAAAAAACACATACAATATATACTAGTAATATGTAGGAACACATACTAAGTAAAGAAAGAAATCCATCCATTTTATGAAACCACTGAATCCCAACTGGGGTCGCAGGGGGGACCGGAGCCTATCCTGAGAACAATGGGAGCAGGCGGAAACCAACCCTGGGCAGTCGCCAACATAATGCAGGGCTAAAGAAAGAAAGAAAATCTAAATTTACTTCTACACGTATAGAGTCTTTTTGCTTAAATGCTTTATGTATCTCAGGTTTTTTGGTTGTTGTTCTTTAAGTCCAGATTTACTTCGGTTTTACGTAAATCGAGAGCTGAATGTATATCATATTATGTATAATGGAGGGAGATTCCAGAGGGATGGAGAGAGTAACAGAGTGAGAGCTACAGAGCGAGTGTGATGGGATATGGAGCCATAGAGATGCAAAGTGATCGCCACTGGAGTAACGTAGAGTGAGTAGATTAGTGTGTACTGTTTATGGACTAGTTAAGGTTAAGTCAGTGCATCTTATATATAGACTGTTAGGAGTACAAATTTGAATGTAGAAATAAACAAATGGCAAAGCTGATGTAATCAAAAATGCAAGTAAATTATCACACACTTCTGTCTGTGCTGACAGCTGTATTCCGTGCAGAGATTTAGCAAAAAGACGACTTCAAGTGTGTAATCAGGTGGCTGACTATGTTAAATCAGTATTAGGAATTGAGCGTGGACATACTCGCTCCCAGAATGCACTTGACACAACCCTTCCTTCTCTGCAGGCAGATGCAAAGATGGTGTGTGATGTGGTCAGTCGCATGGAGGATACCGAGCCCTACTCCCCAGAACTGTTGGCTGCAATGTTACGTCTTTGGGCTGATTCGGGAATACAGGAGTGCTTCAACCGTGCCCGTGAATACCAGCTCAATGACTCTGCCCAGTAGTGAGTACAACTTCTACTTCTGGATTGGAAAGGTTCTACAAGGTCAGGGTCAACTGCCATCCCAATTAGAGGAGTAGAGCATCACTCACCAATGGGCACTTACACACTCCTAGGTAAAGAGTGATCCTGGTAGAATGGGCCAGTCAGAAATTTTAAATCTTGATGGGCCATGATGGACAAGAGGAACTGGTGTCTAATTGTTAAAGGCAGCTGAGTGGCAGGATAAGCATCTATGAGACATTAGCATTTCTTGAATAGTGTAGTGCAACGCAGCAGATATTTCCTGAGTGAAAAACAGATGATAGTACAATGTTGAATGATCTTGTCATAAGAGGTAGGAAATTCTAAATAATAATTCCAGTGATCTAAAGATTTATAAAAGGTGCTAAAAACGATGGAATGGGGTGAGGTTGAGACAACAGGTGGCCTAGCTAGCCTGCAGTGACACTTTCATATTATTTGGAAATATAATATATATATATATGTTTGCCATTTTCTGAAATGCATCTATTGTGTCATGGAGTAATATATGAGGTGTAGTATCTGCTGGATTCGTGTGACCTAAAATAGGATATTTTACAACTATACCCAGATTTTACTTTATAAAATTTAATTATCTAGCAACCCAATTCAAACAAAGTTACCTATGTTCTCCTTCTGTGTTGTTCTTTCTGTAGCTACCTTGACAGCCTGGACCGAGTAGGAGCTGCAGATTATCAACCCACAGAGCAGGACATCCTCAGAACCCGAGTCAAGACCACTGGAATCGTAGAAACACATTTTACTTTTAAGAACCTGCACTTCAGGTGAGTTATAATACACTTATTATGGGTAGGATGGTACTTTTATTAAACCATATTCCTCTTTGTTGCGCACGCAGCCTGAGATTCCCAATCCCACTCAGCCTCCCCTACCTGAGATTCCCAATCCCACTCAGCCTCCCCTACCTGAGATTCCCAATCCCACTCAGCCTCCCCTACCTGAGATTCCCAATCCCACTCAGCTTATTGTTATACCATTGCATACTATTTAGCCACATGTATGATTCTTAGTGGTTCATTATGAACCAATACAAAATTTTTCTGAATTCTGTATCGGTGTTTTTGTTGGGGCATTTTCAAGAGTGGAACATAAGAACTTTTGCTACTAGCCAGCTGGGTTCAATAACATGTAATTTATATGCTAACCAGAAGACCAGTGTTCAGTGTGCTCGCCCTTCATCTAAATTACACACCTCAGGCAAGTAGACAAGCTTCTTTTCTAGCCATGGGCATGTGTGAACATACAGATCCACACAAAGATGTCATGTGACCCATTATGTTTTTGATTGGTGATACAATTACTTCTCTTCATGACTGGTAGTGGCATGAATCCTTTAAATTGCTACAGTTGTACTGATATTGCTACAGATATCATAGTAGTTCTCTGTAAATCACACCTTCCATCCTTAAACAGATCACATTCTTACCAACAGAGGGCAGTGTTGTCTCATTGAGGATGTGTGTTTTTGTCTTGCAAATGGCACCACATAGATACGTATAGTCCTGGACATAGAAGACTATGTGTAGAAGATATGTAGTATATATGTACTTTCCCTTTGTGCAACATAAGATGACTATTTTCCTTTTATTACTGATTCAAGAACACAAGGCTACAAATGGATTGAGATCGTGGAGCACTTTAGATATGAACAAATAAAACATTTCTTTCCATAAGCAGGTAGTTGGGGTTTGAAGTAATGATATTAAATGTCATTCAATCTCATTATGTAACCACTGTCACTGTGAAGTCAGAGTCATTATGCATCCTGTGTCACTGTGGAGTCAGTGTCATTATGTACCCAGTGTCATTATCCATCCTCTATCTCTGTGGAGTCAGTGTCATTATCCATCCTCTGTCACTGTGGAGACAGTGTCATTATCCATCCTCTGTCACTGTGTACTCTGTGTCATTATACATTCACTGTCACTATGTATCCAGTGTCATTATGCATCCTCCGTTACTGTGTACCCAGTGTCATTATACATCCTCTGTCATTATGTATCCAGTGTCATTATGCATCATCAGTCACAGTGTACCCAGTGTCATTATACATCCTCTATCATTACGTATCCAGTGTCATTATGCATCATCTGTCATTACGTATCCAGTGTCATTATGCATCCTCTGTCATTACGTATCCAGTGTCATTATGCATCCTCTGTCGCAGTGTACCCAATGTCATTATGTTATTTCTGTCACCGTATATCATCATGTATATCATCATTACATGTGCACTCTATACCTTTGTCAATTTTCTGCTGTGGTGCCTGTTCCCAGGTTGTTTGATGTTGGAGGTCAGAGGTCAGAGAGGAAGAAGTGGATCCATTGCTTTGAAGACGTGACCGCCATTATATTCTGTGTGGCTCTCAGTGGGTACGACCAGGTGTTACATGAAGATGAGACGACAGTGAGTTATGCTTTATAAGCCATTACGCACCCACACACAAAAACACAGCAACTACCAGCTACACAATACACACAAACAGCATGTAATGCAAACACATATTTGATTATAAATACACACACATGACTGGTCCATAACATAAATATGGTGTATAACCCACCAAATATGATGAATGTCGAAAGTCCATCCATCCAAAATCATTGAAATTTAAAAACTTTCTTCTCATGTTAGATGAAACTTTTGTTCCATTTGCTAACATTAAAACATTACACCAGATTATATTTTTCTTTATGTTCAATGTAACCAGCAACATTTAACTGAAAGCCAAAAGCCAGCACTTTGAGAACATTCATTTAAAATACTAAACTAAACCTACTCTCTTTTATTGTGGGCCTTCGTCTCTGTAAGCAGGTATCCAGTAAAATGTTTTTGCAGTATCATTTAATCTTCACCTTATCTACTGTTGTCCCATTCCGAGATCTAAAAAATGTATGTGAGTGTTTTCCTGTGGTGAGTTAGTGTAGTCGAATGATATAATTTTCTCTTTGTGTATAAACGAGCTGTATGATACCTGATTGGGCAGGTTCTGTTTAACTGTTCTACGCTCTTCCTGCATGCTCCCTCAAGCCAATCAGTTTATTTCCTGTCTCACTCATCATTGGCTAAGCTTTATCATTGATTACCAAATACTAAAACACCACCCCTTCTCCAGAGGCCCCTCCCACCACACCGACACACAGGTATGAAATTGATCAGTGGAATGAAAACAGCCAAAACAGCTGGAACTCAACCTTGCTTTTTGCCATCACATGTTATCATGTGTGTTGTGTGTGTGCATCCATCTCACTACCCTCTCTGCCTTCAGAACTGAACATACTGCATCCGTGAAGCTGTTTGACAATGTCTGTAACAACAGATGGTTCAGAGAGGTTTCCAACAACCTCTTCCTGAACAAGGATGTCTTGGAAGAGACGACAAAGAAAATACCACTTTCTGTTTATTTCCCAGAGGAGATTCTTTACAGTTTGTGTGTATGCAGGTAATCTGTTAGACCATCACTGGCACTCAGACAATAATGAGCCAGTCATAATTCATAAAATGTATGAATCCCTGTTTTCCTTTTTTTCCATCCTGATCCTCTTACCCCCAGGTTCAAACACATTTTTGGAAGCTGTAGGGCACACTACGTTACAGCATTAGCACAAGGACAAATCTACCAGAAACAAAGTGCACTCTCAAAGAACCTGTGCCACTTGCACTTGCAGTGCCCAGATTCTCTCTGATACAGCAATGAACATTGTCTTTGCCTCCAATCTGATGCACTGTGGCCTGTAAGGAGCAAAGCCACCTCCAGAGGGCGCCTTCTTTCGTAACAATGTCATTGATGCCGTAATTCCTCCTTTTCCCTCACATTGTACCTAGAGGCCCCTCCTGATTCTCCTGCCAGCAGTACAAAGATACTTACTGACATGTTTATACATAGCCAGGTGCTTTATATGCCAAAAAAACTGAAAAACATGAATTTGATGCCAAAGATCTTGTCTTTTCTGTGTTTGGGGACACTGGAAGACATAGGAAAACACTTCCAGTCAGGATCCACAATGAGACTCTGGGTGTATTTGGCATGTTCTAATAATGCCGCTGGTGTACGGTCTTTGCCCCGTTGCTCTATATCCGCATTCAGACGCAGCCCCCTTGGGACTGACATAGCTACCTGTGTCTGATTTCACTAAAAGTTCAAGAATGATCAAATAATCTAAAAAAAAAAAAATCTATTGTTGATACTAAAAGTTTTGACAGATAAACTTTAAATAAGTGTCCTTTTTTAACATCTGAAGTTTGAACACCTGGAGACAGTCTGGCTACAGAGCTTTGCTTCTGAAACATACTGGGTCTTCTGCTGTCAGACCTAACTGTGCTCCATCTCGAGTCTAAATGCACAGTATTTTATCCATATCCATGTCTGTCTCATAGCAGAGCATTGTCTTTCCTCAATCAAAATGAATAGAATTTTTTTTTAAGCTAATGCCTACACCTATAATGTATTTATATCTTAATTATATAATATAGTACATTTGTCATGAATCATAAACAGGCTCTACACAATTAAACTTTTAATATATTGACTGATAATTAAAAAGTATATTATTTACTAGAAAGATTTCATAATGCCTTTTTTTCTCTCATTCCAAAACATGTTTTACCACCTTTGTGCTAAAGCATATCAGAAGATGGATGCCACAGCAACATACTGTTTATTATGGCTGTATGATGATCCCCAAAGGTGCAGCGACAGGACAGGCAAGGCAGGGGGCCCTGAACTGAGAGGGGCCCCCCAAGGGCCGCCAATTACATAGTACATCATAACGACAAATCTCCTTTATTTCTGTATTGTGTTTTTTGCAGAAGTGTTTGTTTATGATGTTTTTAAAATTCTGATGTTCATTTTTAATTCAGAATTCACGCCAAAATAATGCTAATAAATTTTACCATGTAAGGGGAGGGTGAGCTAGAGTGGCCTGTAGTTTTTTGGCCTTGGGCCCCCAGAATCGCTAGAATCGCCTCTGATGGTCCAAGGTGCCGGCTTTTGGCTAATTGGCAGATAGCGCTTGTCATGCTGTCTGCTTGAGGGCTGTAACAGGGTAACAGATGATAAACACTATCGTTACGCTTCCACAGTCCATCCCGTCTCTCCCCTTCTGCTCTTGCTGCCAGTGTCAGGATTCTTCATCTAGGTGTCTCACTACTGTAGAACAATTAGGAGAACCAAATAAGGCTTGTTCAATCAGATATCAGTTTTTCTTCTACCTCGTTCTTCCACAGCATGATAGCAAAAGGAAACATTACATCAGTAAATAGCAGGGTGGCGCCGCTCAGATTATTACCCACTGGGCCACTATGGTGATGTATTTATGATATTTGATATTTAACAAATGTAGTATGACAAAGCTGTGGGTGAAGAGGTGCATTATGGGGTACAAGGTATGAGTATATGTTATATTAAATAAAATCAATTGCAGAAGTAAAATTACCAAATACAAAAAAAGCTGCTTTTTCTCAAGGACTGAGTGTCATGGTCCACTCTGCTCTGTTGGTGTAGCTTTTCCCCTAAACCTGCTCCCATTATGAGTTTCAGGGTCAGACTGTCCTGTTGTATCTCGCCTCTGTAATTTTTCATGGATACTAATGTGTTTATTAGGATTAAATAAATAAAGTGCCTGTTTCTGTGCATTTCTTGATTTTATGAATTTTTCTATTGTTATGATTTTAAGACCTATTGTGTGTTTTATTATTAACAAATAATTTAAATAGATGTTTTTTTTCTGCCAGAATGAGGACTTAAGGGATACTGTTCTGGTTCTAACTTGAGGTGATCCTGTTCTGACCGGTGGGAAAAAAAAGTTACTGTTTTCGACTGGTTGTGTCTCTCACTCTTGTTCCTCTCAGGAGTCCTTCATTGACCCCCACCTTGAGGGTGTGTCTGGTTTTGGGGATTGAGAGATAGGGTGTGTGTTTTAGTCCCTGCCTCACACCCACCTTTCTGCATAGTCAGGCAGTAGTTCCACTGTCAATGGTGTGGATCATTTTATTGTTTTGCAGGGGTGAGCTTCTGATGCAGACAAGGACCTTCCTGTGTTTGCTGGAGATAAGAGCACACACATACCTCTCCATTCTGTGTGTGTGTGTGGGTGTAACTCCTGTTTCAAATGAAAAGGAAGCACATTTCTTCATAGACCCCGCAGTCACCGTCAGCACATGTTCCATGTCTGGTTACATGGTTCTGCTGGTGTAGCTTTTATCCTATAGTGCTTCCTGACTTTTGACCTCATGAACTTCAGAAACACTGGCTCTGAGAACGGTGTAGTTATCAGAAGCAGTAGGCAGGGTCTGACTAACAGCTCCTCATTGAATCAATGATTTCATACCTCATTGGACCAAAGCTAACCTCTCCCTCTTTCTCTCTTATTTCTTATTTCCCTGTGCTTCCTCTCTTTTTCCCCTTTTTCATTTCTCCTATCCTTTCTCCCTTCTCCTTCTCTATCTGCTTCTTTCTTTCTCCTTTCATTTTACAGAACCGAATGCATGAGTCCCTCATGCTCTTCGATTCCATCTGTAACAACAAATTCTTCATTGACACTTCCATCATTCTCTTCCTCAACAAGAAAGACCTGTTTGCAGAAAAGATTAAAAAGTCGGCCCTCAGCATCTGTTTCCCTGAATACACAGGTAAGAATCTGACTGAACCTTTTAACTTTGGTTGAATTCTAAAGCAAGACCCACAATATGCATTACTGACCTCATCTCTCTGCATCTCTAAAGCCTACTCTTGGTCCTTCATGCTACACTTTCTATATCACTAAAGTTCCTTCTTAAAGCCAAATACGTAGAAGCCTACTAGGTTACATACATGTGATAGAAACATTGTTCATGAAATGCTACAAACTCATTGACCTCCTCCAATTCTTGGTCTCCTTCATGGTGTTGGGGCTTGGAGGTTTCGGTTCAGTTATAGGTCTGGTCTGCACAGTTCAAACATCATCTTAAAGTAAACAGTAACGTGAGACTGAAGCCAGAAAAAAAAAGCATTCAAATTTACATCAGCATGATTTTTTGTTTTTCATGTCTCTCTAACTTCTTTTTCCCATTCCTTTAACCCCATGCCCTGTCTAGGCCCCAACACTTATGAGGATGCAGCTGCCTATATTCAGACACAGTTTGAGAGCAAGAACCGTTCACCCAATAAGGAGATCTACTGCCACATGACATGTGCAACAGATACAGGGAATATCCAGGTGGTGTTCGATGCCGTCACTGACATCATCATCGCCAACAATCTGCGAGGCTGCGGCCTCTATTGAGTCAGCAGACTCTGTCACCTGATTATTTTAGTAAAAATTATTATTGAAATGCAAGTTGGTAAACAACTATAATCATACTTTTTAAAAAGGCACATATAAATAAACGTATATATATATGACTGAACCTGTTATATATATAATAAAATATACAGAAGAATGTTTCAGTTTTCCACAAAGAGATGCCAAAAGAACTGAGTCAATATGTAAATCCAGACATTACAGTTTTAGGACAAATTTAGGACAAATGTATGTATTATTTGTCTGTCTGTCTTGCTGACTGTCTGTTGTCTTCTACTTTGTTACACATCTTTTTATTACTGTTTATGTAATAATGTGTATAATATTGCTATGAATATAAATCAGAAGTGTAAACTGGGAACATTTTGTCAGAAAATGCTTTGTATTGGATGAGTAACAGATTAGTACAATAGTAATACACACAATAACATTTGAAAAATACCCAGTGGCTTTCAGAGTGATGCAAGACACATCGCAGGCATGACTTTATAGAAGCCTGATTTGCTGTGTTAAGATGCTTGGTGAAAAGGATAACTTATTATTTTTTTATGTCTCTTTTTAAGATAAGGACTGTCACCATGTCATCTTGATCTGTTTATAATGTGTGGATCAATAAGTGCAGTCCTGACAAAGAGCTCAGTCTTTGCTCTTGGTGCTGTCAGTTGGTTTCCCACACAATGCTCATCAGCAAAGTAAATTTGTGTAATGTGTCATATTAGTGCCAAGAAAAAAGCAGACCTGGGAATAGAACCTGAAGCACCAGGATACTGTCTCAGGAACCTGTTAATCTTGTCACTAAGGAAACACTTGTTTATTTTTTCATTGTAGGAAATGCATGAATTAATATGTTTTGAGGCCCCCACCCTTACAGTCATACTGCCGTTCTCATTCGTCTGCTGTCTTCTGTCTGCCCTAAGGCAGATCCCACCATTATTCCTCACAGACGACACAATCTTTTGCCTACAAAATATATGCTTGAATGAAAATACATGGGGAAATTAGACAAAATACGCAAGGAAAGTGCATGAACCAAAAACATGATGATCATGGTGGGAGACCACTGACCGCCAGCTATTCTGGCTGGCCAGAAAATGACAGATTGGGGAATTTGGTTTTCAAAGCTTTGGTAGAACACCATAGATACAGTCTTACTAGTTTAAAAAAAGAAGAATGATAATTATTACATGTATTGTGATTTGTAACTAAAGATTTTTTTTCTCTCCCTTGTCTGTGAGTTTTTGAGGTTTCTCGCAGTCACTCTGCACATCTCACTGACTTGCCAATGTTGATGTTAACCGTGCTGATTCTTTTGCCTGTTACACTATCTTTGGGAAATGAAAAAAAGCATGTGGTGATGTGGTGATGCTGTGCATTTGTTCTGCTCTGGGACCTTCCAGACTGCACAACAGAAGACATTTGCACTCACTGGATAAAGGGAGACGCGCCCTTCTTCCCTGAGACCTTCGCATTCCTGTACAGCTGTTTCCACTTTTTCGTTCTCTTTTCATTATTCCCAGTGAATATTTTTGTGCTCCTTCCCTTCACTTTTATATGAAAGGCTGTTTTTTGTGTGGGATGTTTGTCTTGAAAAACAGGGCAAACATAGTGTTTAAATTAAAAATCCAGTTTTCATTACAACTTGAGGGAATGTGACTCATGATTGATATCGCTTCAGGTTTTCCATGTTGAAATTTGACCTGCATACGGACGTGATGTAAGGGCACTGTAAAGGAAATTACAAAGCTACAAAATATTAGAATTAGAGCAAATAATATTAAAATGATCTGTGTCTGGTTACGATCCTGGGAGTGTTTTGTTCAGTCGGTAATCTGTGAACCAGACACATTTAATGAAGGTTTTGTGAATGACTGATATTTCTGTGTGTGAGTGGCGAAGCTTCCTGTGAAAAATTAAGTTATGTGAAAGATGAGCTTCTGTGAGTGATTAAACTTCGGATGTGAATGACAGAAGTATCCCTTAGTGAGGAAGCTCTCTTTGAAAGATGGGACCTTCTCTTAAGTGTATGAATGGGCCCCTACAGTATACTTTTTTCCTTACATACATATATAGCTAATCATGCACATCCAGGGTTCGAGGCATTACTAAGTAACTGAAGAAAAAAGTGATAGAGCTCATGCTCACAGAAGCCAATAATAATCAATACTGTAATGAAATTTATAATTGTAGCTTTGCTTATGCCTACTCTGCATACACCTTGTCATGCACAAATGCAGCTACACGCATAATTCTTAAGACATTTTTGTGGTCAATGACTGTTGAGACACAAAACTGAACAAGAATACATTAATATCTCCTTTTATGATAACTGTATTGACAAAATTATTATCTTTGTGCATTTTCTATTGCGTTCCAGTTTTATAATGCTTTAAAATCTACCAGGACATTAAAATGGGATATCAGGACAACACCTGTTTTTCTTTCCTTAATTCATTTCCTTTTTGTAAACTGTAAGGACAGGAGAGCAACGTTCTGTGCTGTGCTGTCTTCATCATCTATGCTTCACTCACTAAAAAAAGCAGGAAATATAGCAAACAGGAGATACCAATGAATACCCATGTGTGTGGAGTTTGCATGATCTCCCTGTGTCGTCATGAGGTTTCCTCTAGTTTCTCCAGTTTCCCCCCACAATCCAAGAACGTGCTGAGGTTACCAAATTGCCCATAGGTGTACATGTGTAAGTCAATGGTGTGTGAATGTGCCCTGCGATGGATTGGTGCCCCATCCTGGGTTGTTCCCTGCCTTGTACCCATAGCCCCCTGGATAGGCTCTGGATCACCCGCAACCCTGAACAAGACAAGCAGTAACACAAAATGGTTGGTTGGATGGTTGGATTGATGGATGGAAATATTAGGTTAAAAAAAAAAGAATGCACATATAGACTAACTACATACATCTTGTGGTGTTTGTTGACTGTCCTGCTGGGTAGCACAGGTGTGACTGAGATCTGGGATTACGGCTGTGTCAGTACAACTTCACTGGGGTCACATGACTTGCTTTCACTAAACAGGTGTGTTTCCAGAGGCCGCAAATCAACACTAACAACAGCCAAACAGAAAGGATCCTTGACAAACTATTTAGATAATCCATCAATTTATGAAGCACCAATTTATAAGTGCAACCATACACAAGGCTGTCAGATATGGTGCTTGAGTTGCTCTGTGGGAGCGATCACTGCATTTTTTTCTTAAGATTTATGTTTTTCACAATAATAGCCAGAGGGAAAGAAAAGGAATAGTTTGCAGGTATTTGCATTAGCTCAGGTCAAAGATGTTTCTGCAGCACAGCTTTGACACAGATGAGGGCAGTAGACATTGCATGGAAAAAGACACCAGCTTATGAAAGTGAGCCAATGTACCAATGTGATTTTACAGGTACCATGGCACCTGCATCATCAGTGCAGTAGGAAAGGATGTCATGGCTCGCCTTTGGGATCTCTGCTGCTATCCTCTAGTTCTTCTTTTCCCAAAATGCTGTGCAAAACATGAATAGATAATGAGAGAACAAATTCACTTTACCAGACTGGCACACAAGAGATGTGCAGAGCTGTAGTTGCCATGGAAACTACCTTACATGCTTGTTTGACTGCTCACTTTCAAACTGTTAGTTATTTTCTACACAACGCCCTTCCCATAAACAGTTGACTAACTTGATAAAGATTTAACGACAACAATATTGCTGATGGACATAATGAATGTTAATGCTATACATTAGTCACCTGGATGGAAAAATAACAGGAGAAAACAAATCTGTGATAGTTATAGGAGGACAATGTGCAGACCTTCATGGCTAGTAGGCTGCTCAGCCCATCCTGAGAGTAACCTTATACAGTTCAGAATTAAGTTTGTAGGTATATAATGGATGGATGTTAGATTTATATAGTGCTTTTCAAGATACGGAAAGAGTTTTGCTGAACCAATGGGGATCCATTTCAACCACCACTGTGTAACACCATCCTGGACGATGCGACGCAGGTATTCTGGTAGTACGCTCACCACACAGTAGCTAAGGTGGTGTAGAGGCAGGAGAGAATTCACCTATTACATATAGGGGATGATTAGGCGGCCAGATTTGATGGGGCCACAATAGGCAATTTTAGCTATGACATTGGGGTACAACACCTACTCTTTCAAAGGATCTTTTATGGCCTTGGATTTACTTCTCATCCAAAAATGGCACAATTTTTACAGCACGATCTCTATCACTATCAACACCTCTTCCAGCAGCAAACCAGCTTTCCTAGTTGGTCTCCCATCGAAGTATCAGCCAGGCCCAACCTGCTTAGCTTGTAGGGAGTATGGCTGCTGGCATCAGCAGAATTAAAGTTCTTACATGACATTATATGGCTGACTGCTGGCAACCTAAGGAGACCAAAAAGCAGGTATGTTTTATGGCACTCTTCAGGACAGTGCTCTTTGCTATGTTTGGGGCAGTCTGGTGCTTCAGGCTCTCATCCAGAGTAACAGAGGCTTTAAAGAAAGCTTCTCTCTGATTTTCCTGCCTTAAAATTAAATCTTGAAAACAATTAGAGTGGGATGTCTGACTCATATCTAAATTAGGCGTTCACCAGAGCTGATCCATATAAACAGAAATCCTGATTCCTCAGTCAATGATATGAAGGACACCAGTACAGGCCTGATTCACAAATTCATCATCAACTACCTTTATACAGGTGGCATGTCAAGGAAGCGACGTCTTTCACTGCAAGCTATTGTGTCCCATGTACTATTATAAACCTTTGTAAAATTTGGCTGATAAACCATAGGTACCACCACAGGAATCACACCATCCTTACATTCACACAGTCACAGACACCTCCCTGCTTTCACGGTCCTTATGACTAAAAGGGATCTGATTAAAGTCTATAGCAGGCATGATATCAGCCAGGAGAAGCGGGACTTCATTTGTCGTTTTTTAAAACCGAACTTAACCTATATTGTTTCAGTTCAGTAGATGCTCATCCATCCATCTCCCAGCTGCTTATGCAGTACAGAGTTGCAAGGTGTTTGGTAAACAGCTTTTTCTTATCTGCTTTGTTATACTCTGCATTCCACAGGGAGTTCCTCATTATCTCTGTTGCAGAGAAACCATGGAAACAAGTGCAGCAGTAAACTGTTACCTGTCAGAATCAAAAAGAGAACAATTCCGGAATGAGCCAATTATGCCAGTGTTTGTGTGTCTTTGATTCTGCCCAAGACCTGCGTTTGCGTGGGTGTATGCACGTGTGAAAGCAGATAAATGCATCGCATCCCTTTGCTCCCACTGAAAAGGGTTCTCACCGGCACAGATAACAACTGCGTTTTGATTTTGTATCTATTCCACCAATTAATTCATTCATTATCTTGCTCAGTGTTTCCCAATCTGTTCCTCAGGGACCAGCAGACAGTCCACACTTTTACTCCCTTTATACTCAACTGGTGCCTGAAAGTAAATTTTGGATTTTTTTCTTTCTGGACCTGATGATCCACTTGTGAAAGCTCAGAGCTGGGAGGGAGCAAAAACGCAGACTGTCTGTGGATCCCCTAGGACCAAGTTGGGAATCACTGGCCTGGTTAGTTTATTCACTGACCCAAATGCATCAGTCAACATTACAGTGAATGTCCAGAATGTCTGATGGCTCTCTGGGTGAAAGACCACAGTATTTATTGACCAATAGCATTTGATTGCCTGTAATGTATGAAGATCCATTGTGTGGATTCACTGAATATTTATTATGGTACACATTTCCTGTGCTAATCAAAGAGTCACCCTGTAATGAATACATCCAACCACCTAGCAAAGGAAAAGAGGAGCAAAGCAGGGACACAGTGATTGGCAACTAACAGTTAAAGGGCTGCTATGGTATTTGAGTGTGAGTAACTGTAGCACTGTTACCTATGTGGTTTTGGATATGACAGTCTGAAAAGAATATTCAAAATAGTAATAATCATATGTTTCAACTCCCACCGGCATTCAGATTTGATTGGCTGAAAGTTATCAAGCTATTTGATTTCTTACAATATGTTCCTGTTTAAATTCTGTTTCAAATGACATACTGTTAGATCACCCATTTCAATCACATAAATCAGCATGAGAGCACAACAGTTCTGTTCAAATGACACGAAAGCTGTTGTTTTTAAAGCCAGGCTTCAGTTAGAAAGTCATTTATGTAGCCTGACACAGAGCAAGAAAGCCCCCCCCCCCCCAAAACACTTTAGAATAAAGCTGATGAACGTTCTAGGTGGGGGATTGGCAGATGGTAGATGGGGTGCAGAGTTTAAAGGTCTCCTATATAAAATGCTATAAATTATTGACTGACAGTATTAAGGCATTGTCTATCCGAAGATGATTGCAAATATATCTCCAGAATCCCTGTGCTCTGCACCCCTTTTCCCAGCCTGATTCTTTGTCAATGTGCAGCTGGTGCTGATTTGCTGTTTGTTCACAGTTCAAAGTTCTCCTTCCCTTTACTGCCTGTATCATTTTGTTTTAATTAGGTTGTTCTGCTTGTGTTGCGCTGCTGCATTCTGCCACTGCAGGATACATGATCTGACTTGTAGAATTATGAAAGGAGACACTAATAATTGGAAGCTGGAGTGGATGGCATAAACAAATGTTTTTATCTGGATTTCACAAGAGCATTATGCAAACGTACCAGAGACAATATAGAGTTCTTTTACCCAAATGAGGCTGTCTAGTCAGCATTGTCACATGACCACCTGCTGTGGGATCATTAATATTTAATATTACACGCGAGCAAGTTCTATTTTTCATGACAAAGATGACGAATACATAAAACAGAGAAACAACTTGAATTGTGGCTATGTAAAGCATTAATGCAACATTACAGCAATATTATCACAATGTAACAAGCAACTTATGATCTTATGTTTCAGAGGCAAAAGCTGAGGCACAGAATATGTTGAAGATTTATAAGGATCTCTGATGGACCATGTGGTTAAAAGAAGAAGATTTCTAGAACCTGTCAGAATTGGTATCCGAACTGCAACCACATTAATTTAATGCTTAATCAGGCAGTTTTATGGTGCCGCAGGGTTACTTGAGGACACCACACTCCTGTACCATCTGAATCTGAGCTGGTGCTGTAATATTCAGGGAATGACACCAGACTACTAGATAATACCAGACACTGTATTTCTGTGACCTGGGGTCACTGACCACACCCCCCATCCCCCCAATACTAACGATCTCTCCACAAAGCCAGATTGTGGAGACATTTCACAATCTAATATCGTCAAATCACACAGCCCTAATTTAAATCCAGAAGCATACCTACTGGGGGGGATGAATGAAGCCAAATTAAATATTGGGGGGGCAGGGTTACAAGCCTACTCCCTTCCTACACCCCTGCACTTAGTTATGACAAAGAGGAACATGCCTTACGAAGCCTAAAGACCCAGTAATAAAACAGAAGGTTCTAGAAGAATGCTATCTATATGGTAACCAAGAGTCACATGAATAATAAATGTATGTGACTGGCAATGATGGAAACAAAGACAAGTAGTGGAACGGCAACCTGCCATATCCAGAATTATGAAATGACCACATGTATTTTAGTTAATTAGCTAACCAATCTTTTCATCTTCCATCCACTTTTTCAATATAGGGTGACTATATCTGCAATCTAAGCAGGAAACACAGGGCACAACGCAGAACAACAGCTTGGATGGGATGCCAGGCCATTGCACAGTATCCACAAATTTCAGGCAGTTTTAGTGACACCAGTTCTCGTAACCACCTCCTTTTCTGGACTGAGAAGTTCTAGTAGAAAACCTGCAAACTTCACACAGAGAGGGGGTAGGATAAAACCCTCAAGCAGGGCAATACATGTCTGCCCCCCTAGGGCCAACCCACCCCTAAGCTAAATGTGAACTGTGTCCCCATCCTGTCTAGTGTCTGGGCCCCTAAATGTCTTCCCCTTTCTCCCTCTTTATGGGTGGCCCTGACCCTGAGATAATGATCCAGCTGTTACTGAACTTCCCTTACAATATATGTTAATGTCTAAATTCTTCTTCTTACATAACAACCCAAAAAATTGGCTGATGCTGAAAATAATACTTGCACAAATGGAAAATAGAGGTATATTTTATCATCTCATCTTCTCTTATCTTACACGGAGTCATATTCGGAAGGTATTTAAAAACAATGAAATTCCAAGTATAGGTAACCGCAGTTTGAATGTGTAAACAGCAATGCGCTTGTTATGGAGGAAGACGCTTTGCGCTTTGACGGCTGGTTTAGCGGACGCCTGCGCACTGCACGTCTGTGATGAAGGGACTTTGCTGTGAGGGCGGGGTACTCTCAGTCGCAGTCTTGAGTCGGACTCCCAAAAGCCAGGAAGTAACTTCATACTTTGTAGACGGTCGGTAAGCGAAGTACCAGGGCAGCTTGATGGAACAGAAGCGCCGGGAGCCGCCGCGGGTTTGAAGGAAACTTTGCTGAGGATTTCAGATTGGGGGAAGGAAACATTCAGGCATATTTAGACTGATCGTAGGAAAGCTGAGCACTTGTTCACGGTTTGACGGCATTTAACGAGGTGGAAAATGCCCCGGGTGGTGCCGGATCAGAGGAGCAAATTTGAAAACGAGGAGTTTTTCCGGAGACTGAGCCGGGAGTGCGAGGTGCGCCTGTTCTGCACACGGACGCAAGTCGAGGCGTGTGCGGGAGCGATGTGCCGGTTTGGTTTAAAGATGACACATCCTGGGAAGTTCGTGATGTTAGATAAGTGTAAACCATCGTGAGCACGGCACTGTTCAGTTGTCAGTTTTTTCAGGTGCTTCTCTGTTAGGTTTATATAGACTTTCAGTCTAAAAGCCGGGGATGTGCACTGTGTCGACGTTTTACTTGTAAAATGAACAGTGTTTTTGATGGTACTTTTCCTACAACGTCGTCTCTGTGAATCCTGAGGTTGTTGCTGATTAATCAAGGTGATATTTCTACGAAATTACAACATTAATGTAATAGTTTTTGGATAACAAACATTATATGTGAGTTTTTAAATAATTGTTGCCCCCGTCGCCTATTTTAACGTGTAGGTTGTTGTGTTGGATTGCGTAATTATGACTGTCCAGATCTGGACCATTTGCCTTTCGGATGGTCCAGTGGTGTTGATGAGTGTTTATTAAATAATGATACTTTTTTTTAGATCAGATACACGGGTTTTCGAGACAGACCGCATGAGGAGAGACAAGCGCGGTTCCAGCACGCCTGCAGGGATGGTCGCTCAGAAATCGTGAGTGTTTAACCTTTTCTAATTTAATTCCATTCCGGCCGTCCATTAATTTGTGACCACAGTGGACAAAAGAACATAATATTAATCATATTCAGTCGGTTACTAAACATCGTCTATTTACCGGACACCATATGCAATTAGATGCGCAGCATCATAAGGAACTTGGGTTAATTTTTCGGTATTTTTCTTCGAGAGTATTTAACATTCTGCTCTGATTTGACCTTCATGTCCATCTGCAGAAAGGCAGCTTGTAACCTGGTAGTTGAAAATTAGTACATCATTATTTACGATAGGAATACATTACTTGCTTTACCAGAATAGCTAGAATTTTTAATTATGGGTCTAATTGGGTCAATGTTTTAAAATATCTTAAAATAATGGTTCCTCATAGAAGGTGCCCTAAGCTTTAAATGGGGTCTATCTCTTACAGCTGAAAACTACCTGAGTTCTTCAGCAACAAAGAGCTGTATAGTGATTGGCTGCTTATTGTTGTTGTTATGATGTCTGGGTGTAGGGGAATGGATATAAATGATGTGTTAAGTTGTAGGACAAAGGAGCAGTGTTTTGTGAATGTAACCAAATTTGTGTTTAACCAGAGTATGAATACTGGGGGTTGTTTGTGATGATGGACAGTTAGGGGTTAAGCCATTTCAAGTCATCATTTATTTGAACGAAACAAGTATTTTATGCTTTGATTTTTCTATTTGGCATAGGCATCCAGCCCATTTATAGAGTTTTGATTTTAGCACAAGTGCGCAAGGAATTATTACGCAATAATTATTAGTTTTTCCAATTAAACAGTAACAGTACATTTTTCAAGCAGACATTTTGGTTTTTGCGTGGGTACATGAAAAATCCAACTTAATGTCCGTGAAAGGAGGAAGGGAGTATTCCCACCATTACCACATCTCTTATGGCTACTGTTCATCTGATTATCCTTGCAGTCATGGTCAGTAAAAGACAGCCGATGTATGTAACCTAATCCTTGAGAAAATAGTTACAATTTGTTATTCCCCTCCCTGCATTTTTTTTGAGTCATGCCTTTTGCTTGGGGCTCTTGTTCTGTAATGTGAAAAATAAATGACCGGATGCATAATTTATGAAGGGACCCATCTCTCTGATACTGCTCATATTGATCTGTCTCTAAAAGGCTTTTGTGGCAACTGGAACCAACCTCTCACTGCAGCTCTTCCCAGCTAACGTGCACGGGGACCAGAGACAGGCACCAACGAGGGAGTATGTCGACTTCGACCGAGAGACGGGGAAGGTAGCCTAACAACCTTTCAGCCTGCAGTCTCAGAAAAAAAGGGTAAAAATTTGTACCTTTGCTTGTCACTGAGGCTGTACCCTTGTAATTGTACCTTTTAAGATACAGGAATGGACTCTGAGGAACATCCCAAAGGTACAAACAGCATTTATGTACCATCAATGGTACAGAAATGTTTCTCAGAGTCCATTTATGTACCTTAAATGGTACAATTACCTACCGATAGGTGTACAATAGGCAGACCCTTGAGGGTACAGCCCCAGTGACAAGCAAAGGTACAAATTTTGCCCTTTTTTTTCTGAGACTGTATTATCACGACCTTTCATTGTTTCCTGTGCAAAGGTGATCAGGTAGCTGCATACTCCCTGCAGAAAAGGGTGGTCTATGCCCTCATGATTGTATTTTAATTCATAAGAATTACTTTTTTCCCTACTTTCCTGTTTTATTTAGGACCTCTTCTGTTTAAGAAATCTAGGTATAGGTTGTTTCTCTCAAACCCTTTTTTTAAATACTTCAGTAATAAGTAGAAGTAGAATTTTCCCCCGTCAAGGTCAAATCTGATGTTCCCTCTCACCTTTACCTCTTTAAAGAAGAATATCTTTATTGTCATTGAATATGTACAATGAAACCCTGTGTACATTCACCAACAATGCTGAAAAATAAAAATTATATATATATATATTAGATGAAGAAGGAAAAAAGTTAGTGTACAACTGCAATCATATGTTTGAAATTAGCAGTGTTGTAAACATGTAACAGAATATGATTAAAAAATTTAGCAACATTAAAAATTAGCAGCGTTGTAAACAAGTACACACTTGGAGGGCAGGTTATCTTTAGAAGTGCAAGAGGTGATGAAAGGATGTTTCCCACACGGGATGTTACCACAAGTCTGTATGTCCATTGGCTACTGCTATATTTGTCTAACATCTACAGACAACTGAAAAGTCAGAGCAGGGCAATTGTTATTCAAATGCATAGTTAAGATTAATACTTGTTTAAGATAAACTTAGCTGATTTTAAGAAAGAAGAGCTGGCAGTAACCAAGCTATACTTAAGTACCGTTCCTCTGCTAATTCAGGAAAGCATCATAAACGGCTCCATTTAGCCAGTCTACTTGAACTCCAGATCTAAGATGTGGTACAAAATGTAACCTGTTCTTGACAGTGACTTAGGCTATATTTCAAAACAGAAAACAGGGCTGACATAACAGTGCAAAGCATGATAGCCTTTCAGTGGAAGTTCAGCTGGCTGCTTGTTCATTTTTTCCTGAGGAGGCTGAGAATAATATGGAACATTTTACCAAAATGTTTGACGCAAGATGATTGATAAGATAAGGGCAACTGCCCTGGCTGCACGCTAAAAGAATGTCCTTTAAATGAAATTTAAACGTTTAGGCCTTGCTGTAGACTGACAGGAACTCATCTTGATTGGGTTCGATTAATTCGAACAGGATGTCTGTGACGTCCAATGCAGCTCTACTGTATATTAATATTTGTTGTCCTGCTATACAGAATGGTTTTATGAAATGTTGCTGAAACTTGCATTTTATTTCACTTGGCTAAAAGAAGTTAATAACTTTATATTCAGTAAGTGTGTAAAAAGGAGACATTGTAAGTTGCAGAAATTTCATAACACCTGACATTGAATATGTTTTACATATGTGTTGCAGTGTAGCCCAGGTAGCGCAGGACTGAGGTGATTATTATGATAATGATTTATGAGGAGGTAAATCAGCTTGTTCATATAGGAGCCCACCTACAGTACACTCTTACTTGGCTGCCTTTGGTGCTGTAGTCAGCATGTGGTGTGTAGGTCGAAAAGCTTGGGTTATAGGTGCCTGTACTTCAGATCCTGTTTTGCTCCTGTAGCTCCCTCTAGTGGCTGCACATTTTGACATCCTTGTGCCGCACAGAATGTGATTTAAAATGGAACGAAACTTTTACGCTTGTCAGCACATTACAGCTGCTGGGCTGGTCCAGAAGGTGTGTTTATGAGGATATGATGGGTGGAGGGAGTGTGTGATTATGTGTGAGAATGACAATGTAATCCAGTCTCACCACCTCTCTGTGGCGCACAGTTATACTTTATTAATGAGCTGCCCTCAACGCAGTCAGTGACTCTGAGCCCCTAATTATCTACTGGTTGACTGTGTCTGTTGTTGTGCTGGAAACTGTCTGTGCTTCCCCTCTCACCCCCCCCCCCCCAGCTGTGGTGTGCTCCCAATAGACCCCCAGTGTCAGGCATGTTCATGGCCTGCTGCATCCTCTCCCCAGCCCTGTGCTTAATTAAGCAGAGTAAATAAGGTAATGCTTTCTCAATGCAAGTTTTTTTTCCCCTCTTCTCCCCAGACAGTTTTCCTCTCAATGTGAGTCAGCTTCAGGAAACTTTTGTACATGGGCTGCAGGAGCTGTTCTGGGGGAAGTGGCATCCTCACTGCAAGGTGTCCAGTGATGGCAGGTACACCTGCATTGCTTAGAGTTGCCCCTCAGAGTCTCACTGGGGGCAGACAAGAAAAACCCCCCCTGCTGAAAAATTGCCTGGATGTTCATGACATAGAGATTTTACTGGGTTTGTCCTGACATCAAGCCTTGGATAAATCCTGTCAATTCTAACTGGATCTTCTTGAACATGGTGTGTTGCTGAGTGACCCAGGCTGGTGTCTCTGCAGCAGTGTGGCTGGACGTCATGGTCTCTCTCTAGAAATCCGGTGCCTTGGGCTTTGATATAATTCAAATTCAATTCAGTTCAACATTGTATAGCGCATTTTCACAACATTACATTGACTCAAAGCACTTTACATTATCCCTGCCCAAACCCCCAGAGAGCAAGCCAGAGGCGGCAGTGGCAAGAAAAATCTCCCTAGAAGGAAGAAACCTTGGGAGGAACCAGACGGACTTGAGAGGAATACAGACTATGCAAGACAGCATTCTCTTTCTGTGCATCTATGTGGGTTGGCTGTTTATTTCTGCATCCTTGGATCTCACCTTTTCATCAGTTTGTAGCGGCTGCACAGGGGCAGATGGAGGGAAGCAGGGGTGCGAGTAAACCACTCGCTTCAGATTTCAGCTTCTTCTCGACATTGGGATTTTGCCTTAACTTGTACCCAAATCTTGTGTGTGGGGGTGCATGTGAGTTACAGACCTGGTTTCATCACATAATGAATAAGGTGAGGGTGCCCTGTCAGTTTGCCCTTCAAGTTGTTGGTGGAGGATGAAAGAAAATTTCTTGTCAGGATTGATAGGTGGAGAGAGTGCTATCATACCAGGTCAGTCGGGAATTGGCTATACAGCCACAACAGCCAGTCACATAATTTACCCACCCAATGAACCAAGTTTGCTATAAATGGCCCACACCCTTCTGCAATCAGAGCTGTGCAGAAGACCACACCCTTGTGCACAAGAATACAAATTTTGTAAATCAGAGAGGACCATTAATCCTGTTTTGTTCTTCGAGTTATTTTCCATCTATCTTCCATTCACTTCCCAGGGTCACATGGAGGCGGGGGAGCGGGGTGTTGAAGCCTATCCCATAATACAAAGGGAACAAGTCAGGGGTGCACCTTGAAATGGATGCCAGTCCATCACAGGACATACACACTCCTACTCACCAGCACGTGCTACACACACTGTGGTCAAATTAGAAACTTCCATTCACCTGCATGACATGGTGAGGACAAGCAATCTCCACACACAGAGCAAACATGGGATTTGAACCCCCAACACTGTGAGGCTACCCACTGATCCATTATGAGACCCCATTGTTTATATTCTAAAGAGAGAAATATTCTCTAATGCTCAATCAGTGTAAAGGCTGTTGCTGCACAGTACTACCAGGAAGCTTATTTTGAATATTCACCACCCTAAAGGATTTTTTAATTCTGCTGTGATCTGAGCTGGTGCCAAATATTTTTCTTCTTTCATCTGTATTAATCCATGACTTACTCCAGCATCAAGTTTACTTTGCTGACTGCTTCATCAAGGCAGCTGTAAACCCCTGGTCGTTATGTCTGTGTTCCCCAGGCTGCCTGTACTGTATGTTCCCACTTTTTGAACCATTCCATGTCCATATCTTAAAAAAAATATATATGGTAACACTTTAGTTAAAGCAGTCATGTATAATGCATTATAGATACCTTCATAATGCATTATGATGCATTCATAAAGTATTATAAACACTGCTAAAACTATTTATAAAGGCATGACACTATTCATAATGCAGTAAAAACATCCTTAATTCTTATATATTGACCGAAATAATGTATTATGAAGGCATCTATAGTGCATTATAGATGAAAGCTTCACAGAGCATTTATAAAGCATAATATACATGTTTATAATATGTCATCTCTCTTTATAAATAGTTATAACTGTTTATAATATTTTATGAATGCTTTATAATGTATTATGGAGGTATCTATAATGCGTTATACATGACTGCTTTAAGTCAAGTGTTACCGAAAATTGTTCTGAAGACCCTAACTTCTGAATGCCAAATCTAAGTTGCACTTGCTAAGAGTCAAACTGGAGGCATTTGACAGCCAATCTATGGATGCCACCTCCTCGTGAAATTTTAGGATCAGAAAATTAAATAAAAAAGTTATTTATTTGGTCAACAACCTATGACGCATACTTAGTGAAATCCAATATGTCACATTGCCTGGCTCTGTTATTTTTGGTTCAGTGTGTAGCTGGCAAAGTTGGTTTTGTTCTGCTGTGACATCATTACATGCCAGGACTGCCCTTCCTGCCTGCTGTAGGTTGGATGAAGGGCCAGAATGAGCATCTGCTTCTGAGAAACTTAATGACTACCATGATGGTGTTACTTGGCCTTATTGTGGGGGAATGTTTGGGTCACCAGCCCAACTACTGACCTATAATAAATTAAATAGATAAAACACAGTCTAGTCTAGTAACATTTGCTTATTTAGCAGATGCTTTTTGTTCAGGTCAATATAAGAGGTAGGCGAGTATCACGTTACAGACTATTACGAGCCATCAAGAAGTCGACTGTGCATAAGTATAGCTGTGCTGAGCTAACAATGAATGCCCGGTTAGAAGTCTGAGCAGTATGGAAGTTCGGAAGAGAACGAGAGTAGCAGCAATGCTCCTGTGATTGGGGGTTTTCTGGCTCATCGTTTTCCGAAAGAGCGCTAGCTGGCTATTTTCGTGTGTTTGACACGCCTACCTGGTTGTTTCCTGAGGGCGCCAATGAAATTTCCTCCATTGTATCTTCCAGTATCTGCGCATAAACAAGTTTCACAGACGCACTAGACGTAAACTACTCTGAGCCATATTTAAGGCCAGAACTGACCACACAGGTGAAGTAATTGAATCAAAATCAATTCTGAAGAAAGAGCCAAATGTGTCTGAATATTGACCCAGGAGCTGAGTCTTCACAGCGCCTTGTGCCAGTGGCACACAGCCGTCGGCTTGGTGGGAGTGTGATCTCTGTTGCAGGGCAGGAACTCGGCTGCTTATGGCTCATGTTGCCGAATTACTGCTACTGCTCCCTGGATCATTTTTATTAGCAAAATATGGCCAGCTGACTGTGACTCTGCCCTTTTCCGATGACAGTGTCCAGCTTCCCAGGAAAAACAAACTCCTGATGTTCATAACGGTCGTAACATTTCTGAGTGTTTTTCTGCTGATGTGTGTTTAAAGAGCATCAAGTCACTCATGTTATTTAGTGAGAAACTCCAGCAGTTCTGTGTGCGCATTGTCGCTGCAGGTGTATCTCAAAGCTCCTATGATCCTGAATGGAGTTTGTGTGATCTGGAGAGGCTGGATTGACCTGCAGCGTCTGGATGGAATGGGCTGCCTTGAGTATGACGACGAGAAGGCACAGGTACACCCCCACACAGAGGAACACACGGTTGAACCTGTTGCTTTGACATCATTGTAGTGAAACACATGGTCATAGGAGATACACATGCTAAAGGTCCACTCACTTTCAGTAAACATGTCCCCCCAGCAGGAGGACTCAATTGCCCGGCAGGCTTTCGAAGAGGCACGGAGGAGAGCCCGGGAATTTGAAGACAGGAATCGCTCTCACTGTGAGGACATGGAGGTGAGAAGGACAGCTAGGGCAGATAAAAGGCTGATACATAATCGCCTGGTCAGAAACACCCCCTGGTGATGATGAACGCATGGAAACATTGCTTGGTGGTACCCAAAGTTTAGGGGATCCATTGCCATGTCCGTTCCAATATGATGTGAATTTTGCCAGCTCCCCTATGCGATGGCTGTATGCTCCACTGACTTGTTTCACAGTAGGAATTGTTAAGATGAGTCTGTGTTGGAAATGGTATCCATGCAGCACCAGACTTTTAGGGAGATGCACAAAAGTAACAAATATCCCCTCTCTGCTTGTGATGCTGACTGGATATCCTGAACTCTTGTCCATTAAGCTGCAAAGCTTTCTGAGAACCCTTTTATGCCCAGTCAATGGGAACGGTGTGTGACTCAGCGGGCTAAGCCTCTGCCTGGGATCGGAAGGTCGCCGTCTATGGGCTCTTTAGCAAGGACCTTAGCCCCCAGCTCCATGGGTACCATTGTAGGTGGCTGCCCTTCGCTGCCAAGCTTGTTCTCACCTACATATGTGTGATGGAGAGCAAGATGGGGTAGGCAAAAAGAGAATTTCACCACGAGGGATCAATGAAGTGTCATTATTATTAAAATATTTCCTAAGTGGACTAGGATCTTTGGCCTGTGGAAATTGGAGTTATTGCATCTGTTCAGCATTATAATTCACAGAAGCCTGTCCATTTGTTGCATTTTTTGCATTTTGTTGCGCTTGAACACTTGTACACTAGTGACAACTAACATGGGTCCAGTGTGGCATGTGTGTTAATGACTGGGTGGCCATTTAAAACCTTTTCATTGTGAATGTTTTGCGCCACTGCCTTCGTTGTCCTGTTTATCATGATATATATTTTAGCAACTGCCAATTCATCCATATGCCATATCCAAATGAATATTAACGACTGAGATTTTAGTCATTTACCTAAGGGTGCAATACCCACTTTATGCGATGAAGTCGTATTTCACATACACCCTCCCCTGCAGTTTTGGTAAACAGTGTCTTGTAACAATGCAGTATTTATGTTGGCCAGTCCCTGTCTCCCTGTCTCTGTCCTCCTGTCTATGTTGGATGTGATGAAGCCTTGGAGAAACTTGAATTCTTTATATTTTTAGCTAGATCTTCGGTCTACAGAAGAACACGTGTGGAAACACAATTTGTTCCCCCGCAGTGGACAATAATGTTCTGCCTGTCTAGCTTTACTGAGGAGAAGCACATCTAGCGTCTCATGGCTCTGGGTAGACAGGACTTTCCGTGTCTCCAATTAAACTGCTGCTGAGAGTGTTTACATTTTCTGCTTGTTTGTTTTCTGGTCACTTTAGTCTTCACTGGGTGTTTTGTTTACTGTTTGTTGTTCTATGTCTTGGGATCCGCTTAGGAATTTAGAGGATAGACGTTGGGGGGTAACTTTCTGTTAACAGGAATTTTTCATGGTCCTGGCTCATGTATCATTCTGTGTTTGCCACAATGCAGAGACAGCAGGACTCCAGTCCGGGGTCTACCATGGGAAATTCGGACGACCGCAAGATACGCTAATTTATCAGCCTGGATTCAAGGTGGCGGGGTGAGGTGAAGGCCCTGCCTCGGAGCTGTTCTTCACTCATGTGGATCGAGGAGAAACCAAAGTTCAAAAGCTGGAGGGGGAGTTATCTAAATTTTCCACTAACCCAAGGCAGTGTGTGGAAGGAGAAGAAGCGGGCTGAGATACAGAAAGAACACATTAAGGCTCTTTGTACAGTGGAATATGTATGCAGCCTCACGTCAGCAGACGGCTTTTCAGTTCTTCCTGCGCGTGTTTGTGTCTCAATGAAAGCTTTGTTTCAATTTATGAAAGAGGCATTCCTGTTCTTTTATTCATACTTGACTTGAAAATCCTGGATGTTTACTTTTTGTATTTTTTGTAAAGATATTCAGAGTGAGACTTGTATTATACTGGTGACCAGTTGGAAGAAGAAGTCCATTTTGTACCTCAAATTAAGGACAAGCTGTCCAGATCCTGTTCACCCTTATCTGGTTGTGGTTATGTCATGTTATTGATCTGTCTGGTTCTCTGGGCAGCTGGAGAACCGTTGGCCGTCTGTTACATATTTTAAACAGTAGATGGCAGCATTGAGGCTTCAGTTTGATTTGCTATTAGTCTTATCTGGTTTAGTTGCATTCTGATTTGCAGCTATATATTGAATAAGGGTACAGCATAAGTTAAAGTACCTTAGGTATATACTATAAGTGTGTATATATACATTTATAAATTTTATATGTATGTACCGTTTTGAAAAGTACACCATTTTCCTTTGGGAATGAATCATGTTTTTTGCTTGTAAATAAAGGACAGGTCAGTGGTGTGATAATCAGTGTTACAGCAGGGAATTCTGGGTATGGGAAATGGAGATGGTACCGTGGTGGGTCCAGCCGTGGGAACAAGTGCATTGTAGCAAGAATGGAAAAATCCTTGCCCACTTGTATTCAGTTGCTGACAGCTGCTGACCTGAAACAAGGAGTATCGTTTTTTTTTTTCTTTTTCTCCTTGACACTCTTGTTTGGAAGTCACAGTGTACACAACACCCCAGACCTATGGATTTGAATCATTACCATTGCTGCAGTCCCTTAAGTCACACAGTTAGTATTGTAGCTTATTATATTAAGAAATGTATTGCTTTGATGTGTCAGTCTGTCTTTTAGAAGCTGATGGTGGCAGTGAATTAGGAGACGTTACATAACCGTGACATCCATGATGTGACTCAGCATCCTATATTCTGTACACTCATGTCTCATTTATATTCTCAGCCCCTAAGAAAGTACAGTGCTTACAAAATCAGCTAAAACGTCACTGCCGGAGATTGACCTGGGCTTCCAGCAATATTGCTGAAGCCGCTTCTTGTGGCTTGTACCTGCCGATTAAGACCCATGACATTCTTCTGTGTTCACTTTGACTTACTGCCACATCTCCATAACACAAAAACTTAATAAAATCTTTAAAAAGATGAATGCTGTTACTGTCATGCTCTTTAGTGAGATATGGATAAATGATAGCAACACAGTTGAGCTCACGGATGTTTTATGTCAAAAAGCTGGTTGACAGCACTTAAATATAGTCTACGCTGAATACACCTTCTGTTAAGATTCGTGTGGTTTATCAGACAGCTGGAATCTGTGCAACTATAAGGCATTTAGGATAGGCCAGACCATCTTCAGGCAGGAAACTAATAAAAAGCTTAAATGAAAAATGCACTTCTTGTCTTCATATTATCAGAAAACATAAACATAATGAATTGGAATTTAAAACTTACATTTTGACTGCAGGAAAATATCTTGCATGGAACCTGCTAAAAAATGCATGATTCATGTTAATATAAAGGTGATACTATATGTATTAAAGTTACCTGTTATCACTATTGTACATAATTGGTCCTGTTAGATAAAATACAGGCACATAACAATAGTCCTATAAACCACAGTACACTGCGCAAACAGAAAGCCAGACGAGTGCAGAGGACAAAACAAAAACTCCTTACAATGCATGATTGGAAAAAAAAAAACTCTGTAGGACTAAGGTCAACTTGCTTCCCACCACTTCAAGGAAGCATTTTCCAACTTGGTTCTCGAGAACCCTCAGACAATCCAGGTTTTTGCTCCTTCCCAGCTCCCTGTCAGACAGTCGCTCCATCCAGTACTGGGAACTATTTTCCTTATGTGTTTGAAACATAATCACTATTATCAGATGTTTTGGTCATGCATGATTTGCTTTCTTAAAACATGGTAATGATTCGCTCTATCTGCTGTGTAAATGGGGCAAGGCTCAATTACATCCATTTAGGCTTTTTATCATGGGTGTGCATGTGCCCCAGTATTTATGTCCTGTGCCCCAGTAAAATCTCACATTCAAATCATATGGGTAATGGGGGGTGGAGGGGGCTGTGCCCCAGTAGAGCTTTTTGTTTCTAATAAAATCTGTGAATTTTCGTAATTTACCCATATAATTATTGTTATAAAATGTCTAGCTTTTTACTGGAACATGTGTTTTACTCAATATATTTTAATCTGCCTCTGGCGTTTCCTTATGCAAATTTCTGACAGTGTTTCCTAAGTTCCTGTTTCCTAAGGTCCTTGTTTTTATTACCAGTTCCTGTTTTTATTGTCATGTCTATTCTTTATTATTAAGTTATATATTACTTGTTAATTTACTTATTTATTTCTAATTGTCTTTCATGTCTTCTGTCCCTTTATTTTACACAGTTTGGGTGAGGGTCACAGTATGGATGGGATATTGTTTTTATTGCGTGAAGCACTTTGTGTTGCATTGAGTTTGCAGGAAAAGTGCTGTATGAATAAAGTAAGATTGATTCATTGATTAATACACGAAAAATGGTGTACACACACACACACACACATATATATATCATTTTCATCAAAATATGATTTTAGTGTTCATACAAATAAAACGTATTTTTATTGTGTTTTTAAATTTTTATTTAATTTTGAACATTATGGTTCATAATTGTAAAATTTCACGCACAAAAACAATAGAAATATATATATTAAAAAAATGTAAACTATGTTTTAAAGTTTTAAAATAGGTCTCCAGGGCTAGACTGGTACGTTATGACGAGTGGGAGGGGGGTGGGTCCCCTATGATGAATTTACCGGGGGGCGGCCGCTCCCTAATAATTTTTGCCGAGCGAAGAATCCACTATACAGGCTAGGCATACCCATCGGCCCATAAAGAAAATGCGTAGTATGCTTGCCAGACCAGCTCCAGTCCTGTCGGTCTATTAAATTAATACATTTTTGTACACGAATAACTTGATGAAATACTCATCCCGTAGACTCTTATTTGTTGTCGCTTTTTCTTTTCACTCTGTATTTCCTGTTACTGGTGTATGTGTTTTAATGTCGAGCCATTTGCTTTAAGCATATTGTTCAACATTTTAAAAATAGATCAAAAATAAAAGGAAAACTGAGAAAGAGAAATGACTCCCAGTTCCGCCCGCAGTCACTCTTCTGTTCGTGCGCTACCACATCGGGGCCGTGTGCAGAAGCACGTGGGCGGCAGTGCTGCGCGTTATGAATGAGAATCGCCGATCTTGATGTTTTTAGAAAGGTAGCGTGTGCAGAAGTGAGGGTTTCGCCTTACAAATCCTTTATGCCTGTCAGCATGGGCGACAAGTATCTGTTTGACAAGTTTAACTGTTCACGTTTGGAAAGCAGTACCGTGTGCATCAGCATTCTAGCTGGGGGGCAGCTTGTTTATGATGTAAATAAATGGAAAAAACCTCGCCAGAATTTCTCGTAACTTTTAGTTAAATTAAGTACAGCTAATCAATACAAATCCAAAACCATGCAAACCTGATCCTATCAGCTATATGTCAACATGTTAGCTGATAATTAATGCAAAAAACATATATTAACACATCAGGCACTGAAAATTATGAACATTTTTCCTCGACGATTGCGTTAAGTGCTCAAAAACAAATGCCTTGGTGTGGGGAAAAAAGGCATTTTAACAGGATGCTTTTCCAGTGTGTTGATGATTTCGATAGATTACGTATATTAATGACTCCAGAAGAACCCAATGACTCATTTAATCAACTCAGAAACCGTGTGCAGCCGTTTACGTGCGCTGTTTTTGAGCGCGGACCGGTTTTGCACCCGGCTTGTCTGGAAGGTATAAAAACGTTTCGACTGGCGCTTCGTCAGTATGCTGATAACTCCCTACTGAGGAATTGCCAAGAAGAAAGCGAGAAGTCCTTAAATTATGGATCCTTGTGCTTGTGCTCAGAGTAAGTGTGTATATATATCTATAGAAGTATATTGCCTAAAGATTACTTTTACTTTTGTATTATAGCTCGCTGTCTGATCAACTTTTTTTTTTAGCTGGATCTTGCAGTTGTGGGGACTCCTGCAAGTGTAAGGACTGCAAATGTACGTCATGTAAGAAAAGTAAGTGCCTCTTTGTTTCTGTAAACTTTGTTTTGCTGCTTCTTACAAGCCAAAGCCACCGCAATCGGGAGTAGGAACCAGCGGAACGTGTACCCCCTCCCAGTTCGTCAAACTGCGTCCTATGCTCTTGCCCGCAATAAGATACCAGTGGTGTTATGTTGTAACGTTGACCTAAGCAATCCTGATTACGTTTTTTTGTTTGCGGGGTGTGGGTTTTTTTCCCCCCCCCCCCCCCCCCCCCCGAGCCTGCTTCTGCATCAATCACTCGAAATGCAAAGCATTTCGACTTGGCCCGATGTCTGCCTATTGAACACTGTTTGATGGAACTCTTGTACTGCAGGTTGTTGTGCCTGTTGTCCGGCCGGCTGCAGCAAGTGCGCTTCCGGCTGCGTCTGCAAGGGCAAGACTTGCGATACCACCTGCTGTCAGTGACGGCCGTACACTGCGAGGATTGTATACGGCTACTATAACCTGTCTCCCTCAACGTTTGTACGTGATTCTTTAATAAACTAGATGTTAACTGACTGGGGCTTTCGATCAATTTCTGAGTTTGAAGCTTCTTTGAGGACAATGGACGTCATTTTGAATTGATGGTAGAGTGCTTTTGTGACATCTTAGGCTCAGCATTAATTTGGCTATAAGACTTTGTCAAATGGTGGCAGATTAACCAGTTTATTGGTATTTTCTTTGTAGAGCACTCCTGCTCTTCGTGACGATCCTGATCTCATAGCTATTGGCTCAAATGACTGTAGGCCTACCTTTTTTTTTTTTTTAAATATATTTATAGCAAATTAAGGCAGCCTGAAATTCTGAAGAACAGTGTTCTCAGACAATTTTGATTTAGTCTTTTTTGTATGGGTAAAACTACATGCTTAATCAACTTGACACTAACCAGATTGCACCCTTGCCCTTAGCTGTTACAATGCATATCCTTCCTTTGTATAGGGTCAGAGCAAAAGAGGTGCATGGTAATGGTGACCTGGGAGTGACTGTGCCAACTTTCAGCCTGGTACACAGGTTCACATACATACCTTTTTTAATAGGGTGCTTTTCCACCACACAAAGCACCAACTTTTGGTACGTTACCTTTTTCCATTGATGTCTGGTTGCAAACCAGTACTGAAAGTGCCAAACCAGCTGGGGTACTACTTTAGTTCTTTTGGGGGTGGCACTTTATGAAGATCTGTCTACTGCATTTACTTTGCTGTGGTGTCTATGCCTGCAATATAAATTCCATTTTCTGCTTAATTAAAAACATTAAACGACTTCATGTCTACCTGTGCCTTGTTGAATACTAGTATACCCTTGATACATAAGACATGTCATTTGTCTATTTCAGAAGTTGGGGAGCTGGTATGGGTGCAGGTTTTTAGGATGGCCTCTCAGCCACTAACAGTGGCTCCCTAGGTAGGACAAGTGGGGAGAATGAGGGTGGTCCAAGATGGCGACATGATCGGTTGGAAAGTTATCGAGCTCTTGGCACTGAATGTGTTTTGAAAGCACATTTTTGGTGTTTGTCATAAGTTGGTTTAGACACAATGTTATTCTGAAGTGTAAGAATAAAGGAAGAAATGTGTCAATCTTCAAAAATGAGTGAGCTGAGCAAAGGGGTTGTTAGCATTTCTGTCAGCGACCAAGACTATGACCGGTAGATGGGATGCAGCGAGCAGGTGGCTTTTGAGGAAGAGTTTCCTTTATTGCCTGTGACCCCAAGCAAGCCACCGGTTGCTAAAAACCTACCATTGCCCATGTTCATCATAATGCTTCAATATCTGATGACGCAGTTCGCACCTTGGCCAACCTTATTAATTCTCAGAGTGACGCGATTGAGAAAATGGTGGAATCTGTCCGTGACCAGGTAAGACATAAGATCATTTGCATTGACAAAACAGTGGAGAGGAGTGAAGAAACTGGTACAGTGTATGAATTATGTGTCTGATTTGGAGCATTATGGTTGACGGTGGAATCTGAGGCTTCATGGCGTATCAGAAGTTGAAAAGGAGGATGTTCGTGCACAGGCGGTCTGTGTATGTTAAGAGGTTCTCATCAACAGAGTGTCGCTCATCAACAGAGCCATCATCCTCAGGTTCATCTCCCAGCGGCACAGGGATGCAGTTTGGAAAGCTGCTAAAAACAGCGTTTTCCTTAAGAATAAAAGGCTGCGTTTCACCGAGGTCCTGTCAAAAGAAGACTGAGAAAGCAGGAATAGACTGTGGCCTATGATTAAGAACGCATGTGAGATGGGGAAATTGGCCTATTTTGTGGGAGGCAGAGGCTTCATAAATGATACTAAAATCCATCCACGGCCAGAAGTTATTGCTTTTTTTTATTCTCTATTAATATACTGGGCTGGGAGTAAAGGACGGGGACATAGTGAGTTAGGTA